AATGGAAAAATCACAGCAGATTATTTTTCCCGATTTTTTAAATCTAGTTCTAGCTCATGTTTTGTATCCAATGTTTTAAAGACAAGTGGAGCATTCCTGTGTAATCTGAAGAACAGCAATTTTTAAAAGAATTTATTGGGTCATAACTGCAGAACCACAGGGAGTTTCCTCAGGCACTTCTCAATCAAACAGGACTTAAAGCTTCACAGGAAGAAGAGAAGGCGAGCCTCCACCATATGTTTAGATCCTTCCATGCCTAAAATACCCCAAGGACCACCTCCAAAAGCCATCCAAACTCAGCAGGAAATGTTCCCTTGATATTAATAACATATTACTCAAAAAAACCCATGCATTTGCATAAGACAAAGTAATCCATTGGCACTTGCCAATTGAAATGGATACATTAAACTCAAATACCTTTTGTTTACTACAGAGTTTCTTTAAGAAACAAAGGCAACAGTGCTGACCCCGTCAAAGCATTAAAACCCACAGAACATCCTATTTCCAAGAAGACTGAAGCTGTGCCGCAATTCCTTTTTCACGGAACTTAACAAGGAAAGGCAAGCATGCCAGATTTGCTGCTCTGTACTTCTGATGAGGCAGTCCCAGGTGCACTAGGCTTCCCTCAGGACACAGAAAATCAGACGTGATGAGGACAAAGGTAGGCAAGCCATGACAACCTCTTAGGAGACACATCATGTCTGCAGAGAAAATATTTTCTGGTATTTATTTTGTACTATTGCAGCCCAAAACGGGCAGCTGGTTTGTGCAGCAAAGAACCAAACCCTGCGAAACACCAGTGAAACTGAATTCAGCAGGGAATTGGGTGGCAAGCTGGGCAAAGGAGTTTAGAAAAGAGAATGTGGTAGTATAAGAGAATTTCCAGGGATAATTCATGAACCAGCCGTTTGAATAGTCATTCCCTTCATTCAGTTCTCCTTTGTAGCATTTGAATGCAAGATATGGCCATAAGATCATATGGAATATGCGTGAGATCAGCTCACCATGCTTAACAAGATGGACATAAGCTCACAGCAACGTGGTTGACATCTGTGGACTGACACCATCTTTACAAGCAGTAAAACAAGTATTTGTTCAGTGGGGCTGTTAAGGACAGCCACAGAGCTAATCAGCAACAAATAAGTCATTCTTTACTAACATCTTGGTCCAGACTGAGCAAGACCATACCTGTTCTTACATTAGCCACCCTATTTTCTAGCTCAATGCTTTGTCTCAGTGTAGAGAAGGTCTAGGATACATCTTTCAAACCCTGTTCCTTCTTTACAGCTTTCCTCAGGAAAGGGAAACTTTTCTGTGTGCTGCTCCCAGTAACATCCAGCATTCCTCCATGCCATGGGAGCATCTCTTACAAAACTCTCCAACAGGAAAGCAAAAGCCAGCTGTGTCATACCAGCCAGGCAGTTCGCAGAGGGCCTGCCTGCTACTCTCCCAGGGCTTTTACCAAACAGCTCCTATTAGCCCTCCACTGCTTTCAGCATTAATTCACTGAGCCAGGTGAAAAGAACCCATGATTGGGAAAGTCCTGGTTTAAGCAAGGGGACACACAGCACTAGTTGAATCTTATTGCAAATCAGCAGAAATTTTACAGAGCACATATAAACGTGCATCTTTACATGTCTGGCATACATTTAAAGGTGAGTCGTCCTACAGATCTTTCTAAAAAACCTGTGTGGTAAAACCTCACTTTTCAACATTTGAAGTCTGTTAAAAGGATCTTCCTCGTCTTTTGAAGCAGTCCTTAGGTTCCACCTAGTGGCTTTCAACAGCCATGAACAGCAGACTAGGTAAGCATTTATCACCTGAATGCTTCATTTTCACATCTGTTTGTCTAGCTGCCGAAAGAATCACAGAGTCTTCTTTAGATATACGATTTATCTTGCCATCTCCCTGAAAATTCTCTTGGTCCTCTGAGGGAAATTTTCCAACTACAGTTATTCTAGTTTAAACACTCAAATCAAACGGGCGTCAAATTAAACCAAAGGTTATTCCTGTGCTAACGAGACTGAGCGTATGGACTGGCCAAGAGCATTAGCAGCTTGCAGACAGGAGCTCTGCAGTGCTGCTGTGCCTGTTGGACAAAGCAGCTGCCGTGTCCCAGCCAGGTCTCAGCAGGATACCTGCTCCCTTTCCACAGCTCAGTGGTACAAACCTGTCACACCCAGCCAGATGTCTCTGAACGGCTGACATTGTCAGCATCGACCCCCATCACAGTCAGCTGAGAAACAGGCACCTCTAGACCACGACTCAGATGACTTATTGTAGAGGTTTACCTCCAGGTGAGATGAATTACATCCCAGAAGTGTCTCATTCCCATTACTAAGAGAAGGCAGGAGGCTTACTGATAGCATGGTACTACCATCACACCCTCTGAATCCCACCCAGGGTGTTTGACTAAGAAAGACTCTGTCTTATCACACAGTATTTGAGGTGCAGCCCCCTTGCAGAGAGCTCTAAGCCGGCAGCAAAATATGGAAGCAGGGAAATCACAACAGTTACACGTTTGCACCTGAGTTAAAAAGCCCAGTGGTGGCAGGTAGCCATGCTATCACAGAAGACTTATTTCAACACTGTTCTGTTCTCAGAATACATCTTACCCTGCTACTCAGATGTGTTAGACTGATGAACATAGAATTGTCTTATAGCATGAGAAGTGTAAGATAGTTCTGCTCCCGCCTATTTTAAGGTTATAAAACAAGCTATGCTTATATTTCATTTCCCCAAGGCATTAGCAAAACACTCACCACAGACATTTTAGCCCTCTTTGGAAGAGCTTTACCAGCTCTAAAGAGTCACTGTCTTCAAAGGAAAGGGAAAAAAAAGGCAACCAAAGAAACGTGAAACTTCATGGATTTATCAGCTGCCACACTGGAGGTCAAAAGCAGATATTTTAAAGTAATTTTAGTGTCTTACATAAACAACAAGACAGAGTTCACCAGAACTGGCCTAGCTTGTCCCCAGAGATCATATCCATTTAAGAGAAGGTGAAATAAAAACTATAGAAAAAAATAAAAAGAAGAAGTTGACCTAGTTCATGATTTGTGGAGTGTGGGATGGAGGAAAGGTCTTTAACTCCTTAATGCAGCTTTTTCTGTCTATTCTCATTTCAAGCAGCTTTACTTTTGGTCACAGACAGTTTGAGGCTTGCACCCAGCAAATCATGTCTGCTTTTCTAGAACATTACTCCAGTTTGCAGCTAAACTGTTCAGATTTATTACCCTGTAGTGGTGTCTCTCAATTTCCTCTCCACAGCTTATCTTTTCACCTTCACCTAAGCTTTCATGGAGCAGGTCTGCATGTGACAGACGAGCTCTTTTATGCAAAGAAAAGCAGAAAATCCTCAAATGGCCTCAAACTTGCTCGTTCAGTAAAAATCAAGAGAGAAATGAAGGCCGCACAACGCCTATCCTGCTGTTGGGTTCATCCCCCAGCCAAACCAGACTTGTGGTTTATTTGCCAGAGAGTTAAACCAGTTTTCCTGCAACAGTTATTTCACAAAACCTAACAGGTTTTACGACAGTGAGTTGATTATAATCTACTTAAATTGACTCTTTCTCTCCGGTCTGTACAAGACCACGTGCTGTGCAGCCTTACCTCCCAAAACCTTCCGTCAGGGAGGGACTGCTCCCTCCTTCGTAGCACTGAGGGGACGCGGAAACAGTGCCAGGAGCGACCCTCTCGTGAGGCTCAGGGTACCACTGAAATACCCCCGCCAACAGGGCAGCTTAACTCGGAATTCGCGGCAGGTGCGCCCGCCCACTGATAGAGGAGGGAGGGGCCGCGGCCACGCTCGGGCAATGCCGTGGAGGTGGTCTGGGAGCGGGTTTTACAGCCCCGCCACTGGCAGCTTTCCCCATGGAAAACACGGGTATGGGGCGGGTCCAGGGGCCCGGCTCAGCGCCGGCGGTGCTGGGCATGAGGCGCCCTCAAGACAGCCCCAAGGGGCCGGGAGCCTTGGAACCGCCAGCGGCGGGAGTGCCGCCGCCCCGCTTCCCTGGCGCTCGGGCGGAGGGCAGGGCTCGGGTGGAGGCGGGAGGAGGGTGCCCACTCGGACCCTGCGGCCGGAGGCACCCTGGAATCCGGCAGGAGCGCGGGGAGGCGGCGCTGGCAAGGGCCAGGAGCCGTCGGCAAGGCTCGAAGTGATAGGTGGCTCCATAGCTCAGTGGTTAGAGCACTGGTCTTGTAAACCAGGGGTCGCGAGTTCGATCCTCGCTGGGGCCTCCCAAGTTTTTTTTCTGCTCTTCTTTATAATTATCTTCCCGAGGACCAAGCTGGGGGCTTGGGGTCGCTCCCCGCCGGCTGGAAGGCAGCAGAGCGGCGCTTTTTTGCATTCCCGACCCGGTGTTTGCAGGGGGTGGCGGCTGGAGACGAACGTAACGCTAGAACTGCAAAATGACGTCATGGGCTGGGCGGCCCAGGGCGGGAGCGCAGGTCCGGCCCCGGGTGCGCTTCCCAGATAAACACACTTGTCTGGGATTGAACTTGGGAGGGTTGTGGCAGCCCCGCGTCCCCCGTGGGTGGTCTGAAGCCAGAGGATGCTTCCACCTCATTGCTCAGATGTGACTTTTGTGTTTGAGGGTTCCGTGGCTCCTCCCCTCAGTTTAAAGCCGTTCCCCCTTGTCCTGACACTGCATGACCTTGCGAAAACTCCCTCCTCGTCTTTCTTGTGGGCCTCCTTTACGGACTAAAAGCTTGCTATAATGTCTCCCTGCAGTCTTTTCTGCTCCAAGCTGAACAACCCCAATTCTCTCAGTCTGTGTATTCATAGGAGCATCTTGGTGGCCCTCCTTTAAAAAGAGGGGGGAATCTAATTTCATTGTCTGAAAGACAACTGCTCCTGAAATATACTTTTCATTGCACCTCAGTTAAAAAAAAAAAAAAAAAAAAAAAAGGAAGGTGAGGGTCATTGACATATCTCTTCCACATTCTTTTATCAAAGATGAAAGTCTCAAAATTTGGAGGCACTTGGATTTATTAGACAGTCATGCACAGATAAATCTTACCAGTGAATGTCCATCAGAGGCTCTCATAATCACTTATGTCAGAAAAGGACATCACAGGGGGATTTGCAAAGAAAGTTACTGTTAGGAGGCTGGTGCTCTTTAGGTTTAATAAAACATATAGAGAGACTTCTAGCACTGCCAGTAACAGAGGCACACCTGGGAGCACTGGCATAACAAGTCACGTCAAATTCTCTTTTATTTGGTCACACCATCTTACAAGTGACTTGCTTATTCTGATACACCACTGAGCTTCAAAAGCTGCTTCTTCCTCCTCTTCTCCAGTTTTCCCTTGGCTAGTGCTGCATTCTTTGGAAGAACCTTCTTGGGTCTGGCTAGGTGGGAGCTCTTCCTTCTAGGCAAAGGTGGTGCAGGTGTAGCTCTGGAGTTGTGTGTGATCTTTTCTCCCTGCCTTGGCTTGTGATGTTTAGCTTCAGCTTTGATTCTCTTTCTCTCTTTACCAGATGGAGCTGGTTGCACTGTTGATGCTTTTATTTTGGTGGATGAGGGTTTTTTTGCTTTCTTAGAAGAGACCGTTGGGATGGCTGCAGGAAGGGTAGAAGATTTTTTTGGAGGCTTGCCTGTTGAAGATTCATTAAGCAGCTCAAGGACAGTCTCTGAGGAAAGTAATAACATGGTTCAGCATCCCTGCTTTAAGGCAAAAGGCTAATTCAGAGATACAAATGATAGAAACCCTTAGTAGAGCTATAGTTAAGAAAAAAACCCTGACATTCTGAAAGAAGAAACGCGTAGTATAAGCCCCTCTTCTTCCATCAGAAGACCCTTGGTTTTCTTGGAAATAAAATGTTTAATTTTAGAAATTATGAATGTATATTTAAGGAAAGTTACTTCCAGGCAGAGTACGATGAAATTTTGCACCCTTTTTTGGCAGACTTAACAATACAAATTTTTCATATTACACTAATATCTGGAAATCCCAGATGAGATAACCTCAACTTGCTAAACACCCTTTCTACTCAAGATGGAAGTCCTGCCCTACTTGCATGAGACTTTAAGACAGAAGATGGCCAGGAGGAAGGTTGACTCCCCTAGAGGTACAGAGAAGGGATTCTTTGATTCAAGGAGCTTGTCACAGAGTCAGGCATAGGCGCTCAGAACTTCCCAGACCTAAGCCAATGCCTGAATCAAAGCCACCAGTGCCCTTGTGATGCCCATGTACACTGTTATTTGGCAGCACTTAGGAAACAAGAAATCAGAGACTGGGATTAAGAAAAAGCACGGCATCTAGTAGATGGCAGAAGCACATGTTAAATGTGATGGCCAAACTTCAAGATTGGTCCTGCTCAGTGCTTTAGTTTTTAAGACTGCTAAAGGTTCCAATCACATCCCAGAAAGATGTAATTTGCTACATGTTTTGCTTCTCAGTATAATCAAAGCCTGACAACTTACTTGCACGTGGAACAAATGGTATCTGCTTACTCTTTGTTTTCACTGGAACAGGCTTGTATTTACACTTCCCTGGTGGAGCTCTCCTTGGAAAACAGAAACCCATATGCAGATGTCAGAGATCGTTAGGGAACTTTATTCATTCTGTAGGCACATATCAATCCCCTGTTGTCATTTGCCTCTGGTGGAAAAGGCATGAAAGCACTTTAGGCACCTGGAGTGAAACACAGGTGGAATTCAAGATCCTAGCACAGGGCTGCAAGCCACAAAATCCCTGTCCCAAAAGCAGCTGGAAGGCTGCAGCTTCTCTTCTCTTCTCTTGCTCTTCTTGTCAAGTTTCTGTCATCAGACAGCCTGGACTGTCTTCATCCAGGATCAGCAGCTGGTTATGTTTGTTTGTGTGTGGGATGCTGGCCTGCCTGTGTGGACTTGCTGCCCACCACTGAATTCCAGGTCTTTCAATTTCAGAAATCAGTCACTTTGGGTTGTCCTCACCAATACTGGCTTTGTGCATCCCACCTTGAGGCGGGGGAGTCTCCCTCACAGCACACAGGGCTTGTCAGGGACAGTTCTCTGCCCTCCCTCACAGTGCAGCACAAGGATCTCTGCACACAGAGCAGAGTGTTCCCACACAGCCCCACAAACACTAGTGTGACCTTCAAAGGGTGCTGCAGTGAGAGGGGTGAGAATGGAAAGAAACAGGCAAAGAGTGAGGGAGGAACAACTGCAAAGAAAATATGTCGATGTTCTTCGCCTGCTGTTCCCTGACAATTTCCCACAGTACAAAAGCACAAAAAAAAAAACAAAAACAAAAACACAACAAACCCACATTTTCCCCAAGGTAAAGCTGTCACATATTAAATGACAGGAAGGGGTACAAAGAAGCACAACACACCTGTGCTTTCCCTTACCCACCAAGGGAACTGCTGTAGGACAAATAAGAACAGGTTCTTCCAATTTGGCATGCTTGACAGCATAGAACAAAGCAAAGCATAACCTAAGGCATCACATTTTCTTGTGATTAGCATTCTCCTTCAGACAGTGGTAAGAGCCAAGTGCTTCCTCCATACCACTTCAATTAAAAAAAAAAAAAAGTTATTAAAGCAGGGTTTTTGGCATTGCTTGCGGGGACTGGGGGGGGGAGGGGGGTGTTCCCCCCTCTCTCTCCTCTCTAAGTTTTTAATCACTTCCTAACTCATTTCCCCCCTGCTTATGACTGAAGGAATTTGATGCCAATCCCGGCACCACTCTGCTGTCTCCAAGAGTAATGCCAGAAAGACAAGCCGAAGTGGGGACAAATGGCACTGCTGTCATCAGTTTTCCTGGCATGTTGTTAGGGAAGTTTGAGTTGCCATAAGGTACATGGCAGTGGCCCTGGCAATGTTCTGAAAGCAGGTATTTTTGTGGCTTGCTGCCCTTGCCAGCGTGCTGGCTGATGTGTGGGCAGGAGGCAGGGAGTGCCTGGCTGGACAGGCTGGGACTGCTCCCATCAGGGCAGCCAGTTATCCCAGCGAGACAGTAACGGAAGAGTCCTGTAAACAGCATTAAAATGCAAAGGAGAAAGGAAAAATCTCCGCTCATGATGCAGTCAGGAGGAGGCCAGAGTGCAGCCCAGGAGCTGGAGGCGTTAGGACACTCTGCCCCAGGGCCAAGCACGCTCAGGCTCCAGAAGAGCACACCCTGGACAAGCCCGCAACACGCTTAAACAAACAGACGAGGGCAAAGCTGACAGAGCAGCATCCGGGCTAAGGTAAACGAGGTGAAGCAGAAAATACAAGAATAAATTCCAGAGAGCCAAGGGAATAAGTGCCTGGTCCTGCTCCAGAGGTGAGGGACACGAAGCTTCAAAAGCACGGGGTCTTCATGGCAAATAGGGAGTGACGTAGAGACTACAGAGCTTTTTTTCCTTTGGTGAAATAGAGCATGCACAAGCTCTTGATGTTTATGCAAGCTCACAAAACCAGATTTTTTTAGTCAAAAATATTGTATTTTGGTCAGCCACAGTTAAAATGCAGTTAAAAAACTTCCTGGCAAATGATAAGTGTTAAAGGCAGGAGTCTCCTCAAGCAGTTACAGCAAGTAAAAGACTCAGAAGTTCCTATTCCCATCACCTTGGTACAGAGCTTGAGTTTACCACCTAGCTTTGGATTTAACTTCATAAGAAAACATAACTTGGTATCTTCATTTTGTTAGTGTCTGAGGTCTCTGCAACAGCACGGACACATTTGTACTGCATCTACTTTACAGGGTGATTTGAAATCCATTTAATGCTTTTAAGCAAAATCCAAAATCTTGGGAGAGGAAAAAATCATGTAAGTGTGCTTACTATTGGAAAAACTGACTTTAGCAAGGATAACTGCTTAATGTGGAAAGACATTTTGCTTGGAAAAACTCAGATTCAGACTCCAGTTATTATTTAAAGACTGCATGAACCACCAGGTTTCACTCATCTTCGTGAAGAAAACTAAACTGTGGAGTGCAATTTATTTATTAATTAACTTATTTATTTATTTGTACTAAAGTGCATTGTAGATATTTGATGTAATGACCCTGAAGGACTGTTGTTTTTAAAACATCACTGTGCTATATTTCCGATATACAATCAAGGAGACACTCTTCTAATCCTTAACTCTCCCAGATCTTCCAAGGTATTTGAACTCTGTTTATTCCCTATGTCTGTGTGCACAGATATGAGGAGTGAGGAATAAATTCACTAAAACTGATTAAAGTTGCACCAGATGTACAGTGGGTGAACAAAAACCAAGGACTGAATGTGGATGTCAGTGAGATTATCTATCAGTAGTACTTAGTATTCTTTTACTGTGATAGCTGGAGAGCATATGGTGATTATAGAAGAATTTGGCCTGGAAAAACATCTTTAACTACAAACCTTGCAGGATCAATAAGCTTGTAGAGCGATCCTCGTGGCGCATAGGCACTGGGATAAGAGGTAGACATAAAATACAGCTCACCTAAATGGAAGTGAAAAAAGAAAACTGGTCTTAGATTCAAGTGCCCAAGCTGAATCCCAATTCTCCATTTTCCTCTTTTTCCTGGCTCTTCACTAATTCATGTGGTCAGAAAAGCAAACCCCTTCAGTTACCCCCTCAGTCATGCATTATGTCCAAGACTTTGGCCTCACCCTGCTCTGTGCAGGTGGGCTCCCACAGACTCCAAATGATCTCTTGACCACAGCAGGGTCCCACACAGAACCAGCAGCTCTCAATCAGGCAGAACGCCTGAGCAGGACCTTCATTACCTCGTGTCTGTGGCTCTGCAAAAGGTTAATTTCCTCTGTATAAATATGTATTTTTTAAAACATGTTTGTACCGAAGAAGCAGCCAGAAGCTACAAATAGAGGGGAAGACCACACAAGAAATGTTTAGCCATCTCATAGTCATACCAAAAAAAAAAAAAAAAAATCCAACAAGAGCTATATTGGCTAATCCGTGGAAGACAGAAGCTTCTTATTTCTGTATGGTACTTGTGGATGACACCACCATGTTGTTCTCTAAAAGAACCACCAGGAGAGGAGACATTTAACATCCACTCACTCCACATGTTGTTAGAGGAGTTAAAAATTGTATACATTATACAACAAAGCCTGCATCTTCATGCAGTTTTGGCAGAATATGCTAACCCAACCGTCTAGGATCTTTTCACTGCAAGCAAATCTCTTTTCTGCTGAATAGTGAAGCATCAGAGCTCGCTAAACCACACCTGTGTTCTCCAAAAACTCACAGCTGCATTTTGTATTACATAGCTGTGTCAGCAGACTGTAGAAAAGTGCACAAAATATGCATTGGTACTTCCACCGTGGTGAGAGATCTGGTCATTGTGACCTTAATAAGGTCATGACCTTAATAAGGTTATTGTGACCTTAATAACCTCATGTGCTGAGACCTTTGCACTACATTTTAAAATTAGTGTCTTTCCTCATCCCCAGATAAAGCCTTGGCCTATAATCTATAGTGTAAAGTGCTGATGTTTTGAATAAGACTGAGGAATTTATATTAAGGAAGCAGGGAAAATTCCAGATAAGCTGTAAGAACTCAAGGAAGAATGAGCTGTTACAATGAAAAAGTGAACTGCATTGATATAGTCTTTTGAGTTATGAAACAGCACGAAAAACAACAACAAAAGGACGAGGAAAGGTTGCAATGAGCAGGAGCTCAGACTCCTTAGACAACCTGCCATATTTCACATGAGGATCTGTCTCCTGAGCTCTCCATCAAGCCAATCTGCAATAGCCACACAGGGCAGGAGATCTCTCAGAACCACAGACCAACCCTCCCTGCCGTGCTGAGACAGCCACAAACCTGTTTGCAATGCCTACTCTGGAGTAACATGTGAGGAGCCACATAATTCTACACCTTCTCCCCACAATAGAGAACTGACAGTACAATTTCCAGTGGAGATGTGGCCAGCACAGTACCTACCTGCTTCATCCTCAGCAAATGAGATGATGAATTTGCTGTAAGAACTGATCATTCCAGGGAAAGCACAAGCTGTTGTGCTGCCAATGCAGATATCCTGCTTCTTCCACTTATTTGTCTTCTCATCTTCCTGTAAAGCCATAAGTCGACTAGATGAAAAATAAAACCCTGTGTTTTATGTTTCCATTATCAAAATTAGTTCCTGTCAAAATCATGCATTACACAGTGAGGACCCTGACTGTTGGCTGATTTTTGGAAAAATAGACCTGAACAAAAGCAAACGTATCCTAAGGATTCTAAATTGGAGTAGGTTTAGATTCCAACAAAAAAAGTTGTTATTATAGTCAAACAGAGCACTTAATCTAATACATGGACATCTGATGTTCTCATTTACTCCAGCTCAAAAGGTTTTGGGAGGCTCCGATACACTTATTTGCCCAGATGAGGGTACAGAATGGGAGCTGCAGAGAAAACAGTTAGTCTCACCCGTTCATGAAATCACCAAAAATGTAAAGGCCATTCAAGTTGGGCGATTCACATCCTCTGTAGACGTAACCTCCAGTGACTGACTTCCCCACACTGCGGCCATACACAAATATTGGCAGAATGTCACCTGTTAAACTCAGAGAAATAAAAAGTCAGAAAATTTACTTCCAGAGAGCATCAAAAAAGCAATTGCTCAATGATTCGGGCAGGTACAATTGAAAGAAGGAACAATACAGTTCAACAAAGCACACAGTGAAATTTCAGTAGGAACTCAGTAATTTACTCTGGGACAGAACAGCCCAGCCCAGAGGCTTTAAGGAGCTCTTTGTGTACTTGCTTATCAAGTCTTAGTTGTGATGAGCTTCCATAACACATAGAGCCAGATTCTTTGCATCAAGCAAGCAATGCAGAAAGGTATCAGCCTGCAGGAAGTGTTGTCTTACAGGTTTGTGATTGCACCAATCAGTTCAGCAGGGATCATCTTTAGCAATGTTGGTATTTTAAGAGAAGGGAATAAGATCAAGCACTTGCAATTTAACTCAACATCTTTGTAGGTTCACTGACATTCTCAGCACAGAACATGAATAAGTGTGCTACCTCTGTTCTATGTCATGAGACTTTAATAAAATAAAGACTCTGTCTCTGGCAATGCTAAAATTTAATTCAGCCCTTTCTTGTGTTGAATTATCAGATCCCACAAAATTTTAGTCCTGTCCTCACTTTTTTCCCTGGGATCAAGTAGCTTGTCTTTAACAATGAGGATAAAGATCACAAATGCAATTCATTAAAAACCAGAGATTAACCAGAAAAATCCAAGTCAGTTTTGTTTTCAGTGGAGGATTGGGCCTTTAAGACAGCAACCAAACAAAAAACTTGAGAGCTATGTGAGTACTGGCACAGCAGAGGAGAAATGCAGAATGCACTTGCACTGCACTTGTGCAGTAATGCACACTCTGCACTTGCCTGCTCATGAAAATGTTTCAGAAACACCTATATGAGCTTGAAACCAAGTGTCTTCAGATCTCAGCTTAAGGAACATTATAATAATATTCAGTTCTTCTACCATACTTTGCAAAGACCTTTACAAAGATCACCAATTTCTACTCTTTTTTTAAGGCAGGAATTGAATTTGTCCATCACACCCACAGTCAGACCCAGAGAACAGCTTTTGGGCATTCTACTGCAGCACCCTGCTTGCTAGGACACACTGCCTCTGCCACAGGAGTTGTTTTAGGGTCTCAGCCTCAGCCTGGTCCACTTTCCTTAGCCACAGTCGTGGCTCAGAGCTTCTGAAGAAAACCCCTTTTCTACTTAAACCAAATCCATTGCTTTCCTGACTTCGCTGGGAAAATGCTGTCTACAAAATGCACTTGTCAGGTGCAGTGCGTGGCAGGGAATTCCTGGAATAAGCAGAGCATGATTTCATACCAACACTGCAGGGGCTGGGGAGAAGGGATTTCTGCTCTTAAGAAAACAATCTCCATTTAACACACAACACGGGATTATTCAGCTTCACTGGAAAAACAGTGCTAGAGCCCACTAAATATACACTTATAATAATCTCCTGCAAGGAAACTTCTTGCTTACCCAAAGAGGAATTGTGGCAAAGCTTTGTGTCGTAGCATTCCAATCCCTCCTTTGCTCTCCAGCCGTAGTTCCCTCCTTTAACAATGAGGTCAATTTCTTCAAACCGGTTCTGCCCGACATCCCCACAGAATATCCTCCCTCTTCCCTTTTTTGTGACAGGGTCTCCTCTGTCAACTGCACAGCGCCACATGTTCCTGACCCCGTACGCATAAACCTCGGGGCGGGCCTTGGGATCGGACACAAACGGGTTATCAGGAGGGATGCGGTAAGGCTTTCCATCGGGACTTTTTCCATCCACATCAATCCTCAAAACTTTCCCCAACAAAGTACTCCTAAGGAGAACGACAGAAAAAGAAACCCCAGCATGAGAGCCAACTGAAAACACAAAAATTCTCTTTCTCTTCCTCCTTTACAAAGGAAAGTTATCTGTCCAAAATAAATTAACCAATGTTTGGTATGTCTTGCAACCTTCTCAAATCAGAAGACTCTCTCTTCTCTAAACAACTTGGCTTTCAAAATGCAAAATTTTTATTTTTGAAATACTGCCTTGGACAGACTTGCAGGTGCACAAGCACTTTCAGGAAGTACTCTTACTTTATTCTTCCACACTGTCTCACTTCCAAAGCTTGTAACTTAGTGAGCAAGCTCAAAGCTTTCACCTCCCTTTCTACTTACTTGTTCTGGGCATTCCCAAATTTTCCAAAAGGGTCTCCAGCTTTCCCTCCATCCCCTATGAATAGATACATATAGCCATCCACACCAAAGAGCAGCTGCCCGCCGTTATGATTTGCAGCTGGTTCCTCAAGCTCCAAAAGATTCCTTAAAAAAAAAAAAAAATTAAAAAAAGACAAATAAGTCCAGATGTAGGTACTGGGAAGGACTGAACATTTGGGAGGCTGCAGAAATACTACATCACCACTCCTACAGAAGAAAGCAGGATGTCCCTGTAAGCTGTACAGATGTGCCAGGTTTGTCAAACACATTGCTGGGTGGCATCTGATTTCCTGGGAGCCTGCAGCATCATATTCCTGCCATACAGCAGAGCTCCTTTCAGTGTGGCATCCCTCCTGCAAACACTTCTCCCGTGACCCAAGCAGCGCTCCTGCTTTGGCCTGCACTGCATTAGCACCTCCTGTGCTATGGAGCTCCCCCACCACCATGGGCACAGCAGTACCACAGCTCTTCTGAAAACACAACTGCAAATACAGAATGTCTTCCTCTGCAGGGAATACTTTGGTTGTGGCAGGTGCATCCTGCTTTCTCATATGAGAAGCAATTGGTGAATTTGAGGGCTTTAGAAGCATGATAAGGTGATTGTGAAATTCTAGAGAAAAGAAGACTTTTATTAACAAATTCCCCTCCATAACTGAGAATTAGCTCTTTTCTTAGCAGGAAACAGGGTAGGTGCACACAACGGCAGATAAGAAGAGTGTATAGTACTGTAGCAAAGCATCCCTCTTCTCCTACACTACAAAACACTTAGGGCAGATATAAATTCCATAAGAGGCTTAAGGCTGTTACTTCTCTTCAGAAGACAAGAGTACAAGATGGAGAGAGAAGATGACCTGGAAGTCTAGATCCTGGGACCTCTTTACAATTCAGTTTTGGTTTACTGTGTGACCTTGAGCCAGCTTGTCTCTGATAGTTTCATAGTAGGCCAGTCACACATCTGAACCAGGGTGACTGAGAATTTGCAGATTCTGCAAGTGGAAAGAATCATTTTGGTTGGAATGGACCTTGAAAATCATCTAGTTCCAACCCCTTTGCTCTGGGCAGGGACACCTTCCACTAGACCAGGTTGCTCAGAGGTCCACCCAGTCTGGCCTTGAACACTTCTGGGGATGGGACACCCAGGACTCCTCTGGGCAACCTGTGCCAGTGCCTCACCACCCTCACAGTAAAGAATTTCTTCCTAATATCTAATTTAAACCTACTCTCAGTTTGAAGCCATTCCCCCTTGTCCTGTGCTCTTGTGAACAGTCTCTCTCCAGCTTTCTTGTGGGCTCCCTTAGGTACCGGAAGGCTGCAATTAGAGCCCAAGAGCTTTCTCTTCTCCAATATCAACAATACCCAATTCTATGAGCCTTTCCTCACAGGAGAGGTGCTCTATCCCTCTAATCATCTTGGTAGCCCTCCTCTGGTCTCACTCCAACAGGTCCATGTCCTTCCTGTGCTGGGGAACCCATTCAACTCGAACTTTACCTTTCAGAGCGTGGATCGGCTTTGTTGGCATCAGACGCCGAAACCTTCAATTCACTGATCCTGATCTTTTCCACCCGGTTCTTATCCATGTATGAGTAATAGATGTAAAACTTCCCATTGTACTTGTACCTGGGGTGGAAAGCCATCCCCAGAAAGCCCCTCTCATCCCCTAGCCACGGTGTGGCCAGGACTACAGTTCTAATATCCAGAAAGGGCTCCTCCAGCCGGCTGCCATCGGGCAGGTAGACCCAGACGACGCCCACCTGCTCGGCCACGAACAGGCGGTGGGAGCGGTCGCTGGGATGCACCATGAGCACCGGGTTCCGCAGGCCGTTGGCAACCTCGCTCAGGCAGAGCTGGATACAGCCTCGCTGGTCCTCCACCACAGAGCCCAGGTTGTGGCTGAGGGCCGTGTTCCTCAGCACGCTGGGGAAGCAGTAGTCCTCGTCCTGCAGGCGGAGGAGGTCGCAAAAGCACGTTCTGTTTGTCTCGCAGCATTCCTGGATGTGCTTGTCGCGCGTCAGCAGGCGGATGGCAGAGCGGCAGTTGAAATGAAACTCGGAGCAGTAGTCAAAGCAGAGCCCTGGGAGGCTTCTTAGAGGTGTCCGAGGGTTTTCTGCGTCATAGAGATGTGCAGCATATGGAGAACATTCCTAGAAAGTAAAAAAAACTAAGTACGTGACTGTGTACACACTTCTGGGAGTAGCCAAGACGTCTTCATGAAAGCAAACTGGTTAATAAAATGAAAATTAGTACTTCAGAGAACATAAAGAGTCACCTTTGATGTGGTGTAGTAGAAAGTCACTCAGGATATGGCCAAAATGGATTCAGAGATCAGTGGTAGTATCCTTCATCAAAGCACAATCAGCTGCACCTAAATTCTTCCCAATAGAAGTACTACTGTGGAGGATGTGGATTCTCCACTCACTAAGATGGGACTGAACAGTCTTGCAGAGAGGTAATCAGAGGAGGGTAACAGCTTAGCAGAGGTCTGGAAACATCACAAGTGACATGGATAAATCACTTGTGATATTTACACTTCCTCCCAGAAGAAAAATGAGGGAGCATCAACTAAAGGTAATAGGAGACAGATTAAAAAAAGAAGGGGAAACTCTGACAGATGTACGTCAATGTACATCTGTTAAAGACATACATCAATTAAATATACAGGCTAAATTAATCTTTGGTCTGATGCTGTACAACTCCAGTCATGTTCCTGCATGCACAGTGTTACCAAAGCAGATGTAGTTGAGATTTAAAACTGATTCAGGTACGTAAATATCATCTTACGCAATTCATGTAGATATCATTGACTCTGTATGTGATCATCAGGAAAAAAAACACTGTAAGCAACATTTTCAAGTCTTATGCATTTAAATGATGTTCCTTCAAAGATTATTAAGTTTTATCTGTGCAAAATTTAGGTTAAATTCTGAAAATCAGGCATTGCGTTTGAATTTGTACCTAAATTTTATCTCCTCATCTTGTAGAAATTTCGGGCCAGAACTTCCATAAAACATTTCTATTAAAACCCCACCTCTATTTTAATCAGCACAAAGTTGCAGAAGTTGAAACAGAAGAGACTAAACTCTGCAGAAATATTATTTTATTGGTTTCAATGCCAGTGGTTCAAAACAATCTATCCAGGCCTTTTATTGGGCACATACGTAGGAAGGTGAGTACATGGGAAGTCGACGAATGACGAACCACTACATCAGCAATTTTTCTGCCTCATTAAACAAGTTCACTTCTTTAAACAAAATTCATTTAAAAAATCTGGGCAGCTATACAAGCACTGGCTTTTTTTTTTTTTTTTTTTGCCTTTTTTTTTTGTGCAAGAAGCAGCCTTTCCAGGGTATTTAATGTGAAGACTACAGTCTCTGATTCCAAACTTCACACAGCATGCTGTTTCCTTTGCTCACAGGAGTACCCGGGGGCTTTTGGCCATAATAAGAACAGATATGATTTGTAAGTAGCAGAGTTCAGTTCTTGGATGGTATAGTAAGTTTCTCACTTTTCATTGCTGCCATTTGGCTCTTAAGCTGCATAGAATGAGCTTGTTTCTGTTGCCCCTGCATCACATCTGTAAGGAACTTCTCCCTCTTCCCAAATCCTTGTCTTTCTGTTCTCACCTTCTTGAAGGAGAGCAGCTTTGGTGCAGGCATTTAACAACACTTGGCTGGCACCCTCCTGCCCTGATGTTTGTGGAGTCCATCAGCCATTGCTCACCCTCTCTGCTTTCACCACTACACACTCCTGTGTGCACCCCCAAATAGGCTGAGGTTTTAGTTATATTTAGTTATATCATATTTATATCAGCACCATATTTTCATAAAATATGTCAGTTATATCATATTTATATCAGCACCAAATTTTCATAAAATATGGTGCTGATTTCAAGTGACTAGGAGGCAAGGAGAGCCTGATAAGGTGTCCCCAAGGAAAGGTGTGGGAGAATAGACAGAGACTAACCTGCTTTCTAGTCCTGGGAATCTCCCTCATTCCCACTAGCATGTGGCTGCAGCTGGCTCACTGTTCCGTTGTGCAGAAATCATTGGAAAACTGAAGCTCCTCTCAGTTCTGTTCTGAAGTAATTACTTTGTTAACACCTTTGAAAACATTTTTAATTTCTCTCAAATAAGTGGGAACAGAGTCCAGCTCCCAGCCCAGCAACCTGAGAACATTAAAAAAACCTGAATGCCTCTGAAACAAGGCATATTCTCATCACCTTTGAGCTTCCTCAACTCTCTTCTGCCAACAGGCTACAGCATAAAAGTCTCCTGCAGTTCTTCCTCCCAAATAAGTGTAGCCCCTGAGCAGCTGCCATGCTTTCCCAGCCATTGGGCTTCCCCCACAGTGTTTGCCTGGCAAAACAATGCCTGCAGCACTGTAGACTCAGCAAGACACATGAGATGAGGGCTGTTCCTCAGGATCTACGTAAACTCCCAGGATCAGGTGGCCTTGCAGTCAACGTTGGTTGTCTGCTTTCATTTCACTCAAGCATGCAGGAAAGCTTATCTCACTACTTTATAAAACCAAAAAAACTCCTAAGATCACGTTGATGCTTCTCTGCTGTTTTGTAATGGCTTCTCTGAAGAGTATGCATTCAGAAATCAAGTCTGGCCTCTGATTAAAACTGTTTTAGAAAGTATGTTGCTTTCCCTGCATCAGCTCCCATCACATGCTAATATGACAGTTTTCAATCATCTTGAACAAGGCTTAATTGGCTTTTTTAGTTTTTTTAAGCCTCTCCTGTAGCAGTTTTCTGAACAGAGGAGCATCCCCCCAGCCATCAGCCAAACAGCTGTTCTAGCACACATAGCAAGGTTTGCATCCAGGGAAATTTTCTAGCCATGCAACTTACACAGCACCTCCTTAAGAACATTACAGGCAGCTTTCAGAGTTCCATATTCAGTTTTTAAGCTAAATCCTAGAACACCTCAGCTGGTGGTCAGACTCTAAACCTCCAAGTTCTTAAAACAAGTGTAGCTAACTAAAATAGACCCAGATCTTGCCAGACACAAACTGAAACAGCTCTAGCAGTAGAGCCAAGTTGCTTTAGATGCCTCTCCTAGCCTGTTAGTTTTTAAGAGAAATGAATCTGGTTTAGAGTGACAGCAGGAAATCCATGATCCAGAACACATCCCTGTCTAATCATCTATCTTTGAAGAAACACACAGCCCCACAGCCAAGGTAAAGTGCGCTCCATGGCATCCTTCCTGGACTCTGTGGGACCAACGGGACTACTGCTGTTGCCAAAACCAGCTTCCTCTGCGCAATGCTCAGCACTCCCCTCATTGCCAGGAAGTTTGTCTGGTTTTTACTGTCTGCTGGGTTTGGCACTGAAGGCACATCTAACTGAACGAGGTGCTTTGTTACAACACACAGCTACTACTCTGATCTTCCCCAAAAATGTGACATAATGCTGCCTTTGCTAAATTAGAGTGACTACTATTCAGGTTTATCAGTCAGCACCTACACCATTTTCCTGCAATGTTTTGTTCAAAAGGCAAAAGCTAACAATATTAGTTTGTCTACCACTGCTTCTGAGACTAATCTTTGTGTCCTAAGTTCCATATGGAAAATATCAATAAAAGCACTTCTTACCAAGAGCAGCGGTTTATCTGAAGTCCTGCCATACACTGCAGAAATAAGCACTTGTCACAATGACATGCTGATCACATAAATGCATCTGTATTTTCATATTTAATGTGGCAGTAAGCACACCTGAACATTTCACAAGTAGCGACTACAAACTGTCAGGATACTGTGAAGGTGGTAGAATGGAGATGTTATCATTTCACATCCCTCCTACATGAGATCAGCAACAATTTCCAGCAAAGTGACTTCCTAAAGCAAAACCATTTGGTATTTCTTCTCTCTTTCACTAATTCAACAGCCAAATAATATTTGCTAGAGAACCCAACATCATTTCCATGGTTGTCACCAACTTGACCAGGAAGAGCAACACATAACACAATCACAAGCTCCTCCTCGAAAATTTAACAGCAATCTTACTCTAAAAGATAGAAAAAAAGAGTAATAGCTTATAACTTTAAAAATCTTTAAGTAAATAAGGGTGTGGAGTTTGGGGGTTTTTTTGGTTTTGGTTTTGTTTGTTTACAAAATACACTTAGAACAAAATTACGTTATGCCCTGCAGAATGAGCAATCAAAGAAGCAATAGTAAAATTTTATAGTGTTCTTTTTCTACCTGAAACATGAAAAAAATCTTCATAACATCAACACCGGTGGTTCTGCTGGGACCTGTAACACATCTTTTTCTGATTTACCAACTTTAAAATGACAAACTGATGCTACATTTTTCAGCCCTGGTGCTGAAAGGATGTGTCCCTTACCCCAAGGAGATGCCACAATCTTGCCAGCACCCAAAAAGGGTGGAAACGTTTTGGTACTCAGATAATATTTTAGAGCTAAGGAAATATTAGCTACAAGAGTTTTACACATTCTTAGAAAGATTAAGTGTGTCTTTTGGCTGCTCTGAATTTTAGCATGCAGTGAGTGAGTCCAGCGTTGTGTGACTACCAGTTGTTGAAAAGGCAGGTGGGTTCTGCCCTCTAATTACGGGGATGCAGAGGAGCTCAGCCAGAACAGTGCCTGTTTCCATGAGCCAGGTGGGCAGTGTGGAGACAGCACTGATGAAAACGCTGTGACTGCAGCCTCGGGACCTCGCAGCAGCTGTTTGAAACCACTGCCTACAGAATTTTGTTCTGCTTTAACAACCACACCCCTTGGAGCTTGCTCAGCAGGAACACAATCAAAACACATCCTTCACGCAGTGCAGAGATCCAAAACACCTCGCCCACAATTCCCGTATCATTTGATTGCATTGAATTTGTAATCCAGCACCTGGTAGCTGCAAGCAGATGATAAATATTGATCTGTAATTCTCTCCTTCATCATGAAAAAAATCAACTGAGCAGCAGGATTCCCATCATCATCTGCACTGGGCAATGCTTTCACAAACCGTTATTGCTAGCAAATGTCCCTATATTTTGCCAGATTCCAGAGTGATGCACCTTACACAAAGCACTTTGCAAAATGCACGCTGAGGATTAGGTGCCATTACCCTGTCAGCCCACCTTTTCCCTGCTGCCACACCTCCCTTCACAGCAACACGACCAGCCATAAGGAGCTCTACCACAACTGACCCCCAAACCAGCCCAAAGCACAGAATACACATATCATTTTTCTGCCCTACCTGACACAGGATATCTTTGATATATGTTCCACACAGCTTATGCCCCCGGGGATCAACGTTATCCATGATGTCCCAGTATTTTGCTGCAATGCTGTTGTCTCTCTCCTGGTCACAGCAGCCAAAATTTTCATAGGCAGAGCAGAACTCCAAGTGAAAAGGGGGCTGGAAAGGTGGCCCATAATCTAGACACTGAGGATGTCCCAGCACACTGCCTATCAGGCACAACAAGAAGAGGCAAAGACAGACATCTGGGCAAGAAAAGGAAACTCCAGAGCTGCTGCTGCTCCTTCCAGCCTGTGGCCAAATATTCACTTCCTTCAGTGTAGGTGTCTTGAGGTCAGATGTATAGAAATCCTGGACTTCTTCACAGTATACTTCATTCAAATTCTCCATTTTATTAATTGCCAGCCACAGAGGAGGCACTGAGGTTTGCTTACATTCTCTCTGCCTTTTTCCCTCTGAAGTTTACTACTTGGCAGGAGAGAAACCCTCAGGGCTGCCTCTTTGGTGATTCCCACGTCACATAGCTGAACCCTCCCCTCTGGGCATTTCTGGGCACTCACAAATCTAATCCCTGCATTTTATTTTAAATTGGCGAAGAAATCCTTCACCCAGAAATACGGATAATAAAAATACAAGATATGGTACGTATACACAGGACTTGATAATCTCTCTCCCTTTACAAGACACAAGTGAACAATTTTCAATTGCTAACTACCATTTTGTTCAGCTTTTAAAATGCACCAAACTTGGGTCTGGTTTCATAAAGGCTGAAGAGGGGTCATAAAATACAACCAAGTTAAGGCAGCAGCAGTTAACCATAGGAACAAGTAATTTCAGGACTGAAAGTTTTAAAGGAATATTGATGTTACCCACAAATCCGGGTATATACTCAGGGTTAAAATGAGAAGAAATTCAGAAACTGAAGGAGAAAAAAATTATTTAAGGCATCAGCACAACCTGAAGTCAACTGTGATATTCTGTGGTAACGCTGTGCTTCAGCTAATGAATTTTTGAGGGTTTGATCCCAGTGGACATTAAATGGATTTAAAGCTGCAGGAGACTTTTGCCCACTTTCCCCTCTGGTGAAGAATGCATGAGCAAGCCCTTCCCATCAGCTGTGCACGCAGGTGTACCCTGTTTGTACACACTGTACTCAGCCTGTGCTTGACACTTCCCTAACTTTGCTCATCCATAAGCAGAAGAAGGTAACTTTGATCATAGCCAAGTGGAAAGGGAAGCTGCAGGGAGAATCTCACATATAGGGACACCGCCACTCATTCAAAACTTCCTTGTCTCCCCACACATCACCATTCACTAGCTCATGGAGAAGTCAATGCTCCCAGTCCTGGCTTCTCAATACAACCACCAGTGTAATGAGACACCTGAGAATACTCTGGACTATGGACTTACTCTGAGTCTTTACTGGGAAATGGTTATTTTAAATTTCTGGGGGTTTAACCTTCACCTACTCTGCTGTGGCACCTTGACTGTCCAGCAGCCTCACAGTAATCCTGTCTCTGCTTAGACTTCAATGAACTGGAAATGTGCCAATCAAAAGATTTCAGCACTGTCAGGAGATAAATCTTTTTTTTTTAATCCAACTATTTATATCTCCCGGGCAGGTGGGGCTCGTTAGCCCTTAAAGGCAACCCACCTACGTCCTGAGGACCTCGCTGCCACCGTCCAAGCTCGCTTGGCCCCGGCAGATGAACCTTAGGATTAAAGGGTGGGCTCAGTTCCGCGCACACTGTGTCTCACCTAAAAAATCCAATGCGCAGGCTGGAAGGTGTAAAGACCTTCCCCGGATCTTCGCTCGCGAAGACTGGCCATTATTATTTATATCTGCTGAAGTATCAGCTTATCTCAGTTATTGCTCTCAAACATTGCAGACAATCACTGAAATTAAGGCATTACTTTGGTGTTCAGAATGAGACAGCTGCTCAGAACACAGAGAACCTGCTTGGGAGACGAAAGGCAGTCAGAATACACACAAATCAACATGCTTTAAAAAACAGCTGACATTTCATTACCTTGCTTGTCTTAAACTTTAGTGAAGACATTCTTAAAACAGGAAAACGCAAGCAGGAGCATCAAAACAATGGATGGAACAACAGGGAAGGTAGAAGAGGTAGATCTGATGTGTAATTTTGTGTTATCATTATGTTAGGTTTTAATATCAAAAATACCAGAGCAAGAGGTGGAATAACAGAGGGACAACAGATACCGGGTCTGTGCAGAAAATGTGGATTCCCTGAAAAAGTTCCTTGACTCAGCACAAAGGAGAACAGCAAAGAAAAGATGGGATATTTCTTTCATGGAAAGAAAAAAAAAATCCTCACAGAAGCTTTGCACACAGGATGGGGAGGGCAATTGATAGGAAAATCAAACCTAGAGCACAGAATTCAGAGCCAAAGCAGATCATTCCAATCCCCTAGGATTTACCACCTCAGGACCATCACAAGAGAGTCAGCAGCCCATCAAAGGCCTGTCTTTGCAAGTCCAGAGGAGCAGAGGAGCACAGTGGTAGGCAGGAAGCCAAATTAAGGACTCCAGGGAAGGGACACTCTGCCTGGTTGCCTCCATGGGCTCTCCCAGGACAGCCCCACTGCCCAGGCATGAAACCCATCAAGATGAGTCCCTGGGAGCAACCATCTGGACCACCTCTCTCAGCTAAGGGGGGAGTTGCTTCCCAGGGGTGTGGGACACCTTATGAGATGTTGGGAAAGAAGAACATTTTGAAACTTCACAATCTAAAACAGTCAAAACCCAGCTGAGGATCTCCAACAAAAACCCTGACTATTACAAAGCAAGGCAACAGCAGTGCTTGGGAGTCAGAACTAAATGAGCACACAGGTTGGGAATGATGAGTAATTGCCTTTTTTTAATAAAACATACAGTTACAGCAAGTAGCTCTCAAGGCTAGACACATTGTCTTAAGGCACTTCTCACACGATCCAAATTAATCCAGGCCAAAATTCCAGATAAACACTGAGTTTTTAAAAGCCCAGGTGTACTTATTCATGAACTACTCTGCTACTCAAAGACATCTTTGTTTCATTCCCAGAGGTGGGTTCAAGCAGTTCATCCTCCAGAATTCTACATATCTCTCATTAAAACAGAAGTAGTACTTGGAAAGCATTTTGTTGTTGTTTTCACGCAAGCTGGAATGCTAGTTTGTGACAACACATTAAGGTGTGCTTTCTAAGCACAGCAACACTGCATATTTCAACTCATAGGAAAGACTGCAAAAAAAAAAATTCTAGAAGGTCTCTTCCACCAAGTAGAGTTTTCAGTATTTCTGTGGGTCTGCTCTTTCAAAGCAGTGCAACACCGTGGCCACGCAGCTACAGCAACCTTTCACTCCCTCCTACCAGCAATGTGAAAACAATCCCTGAGCTGGACACAGAGCCCCCAAATATGACATGTGGAAAAACTGCCTTTAGACATGCTGAACTGCCTCATCTGTTTGAACAAGCTGCAGTAGATCTTCACAATCAATAATTCTTATCAATACACAATGCTAGAAAAAGTGACTGATGCCTCTCCATTTTTCCCCGTTTCAATAAATGATCAGTTATAAGCAGAAACGTGGTTACAGGTTCAAAACACATTTTGACAGTGTGTCAAGTACTGTTCTTGGGTTAAGACATGTAACCTGTTATGAATGCCACTGCTAGTCCTGGATGGAGTTTGAACTACTTTCCACCACCTCTTGAGGAGGCTCAACCTTGCAATACTAGTGAAATAGAGATTACAAACCATAGTGACTAAGTCATTTTCAAGCTGTATTTGAAATCAATGCTGTTTGCATTTCATGCAGAAATATGGGACTAACATTAAACACATTCTTCAACCTCATCCCTTGATTTATATTCATTTTATTATAAAACAAATACAAACCAAAGAGTTTTTACAGAAGTATATTAAAAAGTCTAGTACTGAGTCGACAGGGTCTGCCCAGAAGTTTTACAGTAGCACCAACCCAGAAGTCAGTTTTACAGAGAGGAAAAAGTACAAGAACCTTAAGGATGCCTTCTAATCAAGGTTGTAGAGAGGAATCAGAAAGCCCAGATATTCTCAGGTAGACAGGATTGTGCCTATTCACAAATTTCTTCAGCATCCGGAACCTTTTCACCTGAGCTTTGCAGCCTTGGTGTGATACATATTTAAAATACTTGCAATCTGAGGGAAAAAACAAACAAACTGTAAGTTATACCATGATACAAGCAAATACAAAATGCTTTCATTGTTTAAATAACATCTAAGCAAACATCTAAGAAACTTTTCAGTACTTGAAGGTATTAAAATCCAAGACATGCACATTAGAGACATAACTGTAGCAATAAATAATCTATCCTCACTTAAACCAAAAAACATTACATGTATACAAATTATGCTGTCTTGCAAAACATTTTTTTCTCTATTAAATTTTTGCTCTGCAAATAGATCACAAAGCAAAATTTCAAGGGTGTAAAGCAGCACTGATATAATACATTAACTTATTAGGCTCACATTGACACCAATAAGCACTAAAACTTCATTCAACAAAATCAGAACTGGAACAGCTTTTTTAGCCAGCTGGAAATAAAAGCTGCAAGACATTTGATAACATACTACTGAAAGCAAAAAAAACCAAACCCAAAAAACCCCAACTTTCAATTTGAGAAATTGTTTTATTAAGTCCAGAAGGCAAAGTTATAGAAAAGCTGACAACAAACAAGTTGACAATCAGAAGTCCAAACCAGTGTACGAGCCATGGTCTCCATGCCATATTCCCCTTCTCAATTTAGCAGCTGATTCTTGGCCTGATCCTCCACTTGGTTTTGGCAACATTCCAAACAGTGCTACTGAAGAGGTAAAAGTCTTCCTCTTCTTACCAAACTGCTGATGGTTTTCACTCAAGACCCTCCGTCCTCCTCTTTCCTGCACTACAACACCCCCATGGTCCTTAATGTCTCACAACATTCCCTCAGGAGTATGTTGTGCATTTGTGAAATTGTGGTTTGAGGGTAGAACAAGATAAACAGTATTGTGTCTGCTCAACAGGGCCAGATAAAACAGAATTGTAAACCAGGATAAGACAAGTTATGCAAAATATGCCTCATTGTTAAATATCAAACCAATTTAAACATCTGTCATGTTTAGCTCCAAAGACAAGGATATTTCCTAGAAGGAAGAAATTGCATTTCTTCCAAGGAGCAGAACAGCTGCACCCCATCTTACTAGGGCTAGAACTAGACAGTATTTCTGTTCTGTGTAGTGAAAAGGAAAAATCATGTAGTATTACCCTTTCCCAGTAAAATTCCAGCCACCAGAGCTTTTTCATATGAAAGGCTTTTATTTTCCTGCCAGTTCCTTTTTGCCAAGTACCGGCTAAAATGGAAGGCTGGCCACCAGTCCTTCCTGGAGCTCCACTCTTGCTTGATCCAGTCAAGATGCTTCTCAGCGCTGGAAAAAGTTTAAACAAGTTACAGAAAAGCTTAAATTGTGATTAAAAGGTTATGAGGAGACAATGACACTTATAACCAGCTTGCTACAAGTCTCCTAAATTCCTAACACAGACACACCAACTTTATACTGAGATTGAAACACTAATCTAAACAGAAATAAGCTATTTTTTTAAAATCCCTGGCAACACTCCTGAGGCAGGAGGTGAACTTCAGCAGTCTTATTTAGATTTGTCAATAACACAAATTATGGTGTGAAATGAAGCAAGTCTTTGACTTTCGTGCCAGTTTGTCAATAGTAATATGGAAGTTTCTTCAAGTTTGTCAACAAATTAGTAGTATGAAGGGGTTGGTTTGTTTTTAGGGTAAGTTTGCATACTCAAAGACTAACTTATCCCAAACAGTTATTACTGTTATGCAATAACACCCTTTAAAAAGAATCACAGAATATGCTGAGTTGGAAGGGACCCACAAGGATCATTGAGTCCAACTCTAAACTGAGCATTTCAGAAGCAAAAACTCCTTCCAGTCCATCAAGGGAGCCTACAAGGAAGCTGGAGAGGTTTTTGCAAGGGCGTGTAGTTGACAGGACAAGGAGGAATAGCTTCAAACTGAGAGAGGACAGGTTTAGAACAGATATTAGGAGAAATTCTTCACTCTGAGGGTGGTGAGGCACTGGAACACGTTGCACAGAGAAGTTGTGGATGCCTCATCTCTGGAAGCGTTCTAGGCCAGGTTGGATGGGGCTTGAGCAACCTGGTGTACTGAAAGGTGTCCCTGCCCATGGCATGGGAGTTGGAACTACGCAGTCTTTATGGTCCCTTCCCAAAATATTCTAGGATTCTATAAAACTATCTGCAACAGGGAAGCAACATTCCCATAAAATGAGCAAGATGCCCACTATATTTCAAGACACTCTGAAGCTGTGTATTCAAAAACAAAAATGAAGGCAAAGTTAGAGTATCATACTACTTTACTAATTCTATGCAACAACACTCCTAGCTCTAATCCACCAACTTCTGAACTTAACAGCAGATGCTGTGCAGGTAGAGGTGGCAACAAAACAGTAGAATGGGTCAAATTCAGTGCCAAATTAATTTACTGTAAACATATAGGTCTTGAAACACACAACAGCCTGTTTGTTGGGTAAAATAAAGCCTAGACATTGGAGACCTTCTGGGTGCAGATTGTCAGAGATGGCTTCTTCTGAAATCAGAGGCCATGTCTGTCAGAGTTGGCAAAGACATCAATCCCCAGGCACGTTGGCTCAGATTTTAACAATACAGCCACCAGCTGCACCCTGTAAGTTACCACCATCACACAACCCACCAATCTGCACAGTTACCAGCCATGCCCCCAGTGCGGCCCAGCAGTTCTCAAACCAGCTTCAAACAATGCACATTTAAGAACAGAACAGAACAACCAACAACTTTCCTGCCCCAAAAGAGGGAGATTAGTGAAGGGCAGCAAATGCTACCCCAACATCTGAATAACTCTTCCTGCATAAAGATGTAACCTAGTAAAACAAAACAAATCAGAACACTACAGCTTTTCTCAGGCAATGCAGTACTGGAAATTTTGAATTCTCCTCAATACTTTCTTCTTCCCTCCCAACAAAAGCACACTGAAGTCAAGCAGTGCCACAGAACTCAGGCCAGGCAACTCTCCCCTTCACCAGAACCAAGAGAAAGGCTACGGAGGGACACTGTGTCAATTGCCAAAGGCAGAGACTTGATACATTTGTTTTTAGCCCATTGCATCAGAGATACTTACATTACAATTTGTTTCACCTGTCTTGTCAAGCAGCTCCACGCTTTCACATTTTCTTTCCAGCCAGCATAATCCAAGACCGCAAAAATAACTTCTAGCCCCAGCCGACGTTTTTTTCTTTTCTCTGAAAAAAGGTGAGGCTGATTAATTAATTACTTAAATCAAGATGAACTCATTAGTAACCAACAAGTGAAATACGGTTCTCCATCCTGCCTCCCCAAATGCTGCTCCTGTCCCCATTACTGAGGGTGCCCCCCATTGCCTTTTGCTGCTTCCAAGAGATGAAGTTAAGGAATACTTCCTGTCTCTAGAAAACAACTCACACCAGAGACACTCTGTCCCTACTCCCATCCTGCTCAAACACTGCTGACTCAAGAGGAACACATACAACACTCACTTATCACACACTGCCTTGCTTTTTCCAAGGAAATTGCTGTTTCCAAAGCTCACTAATCAGTGCCCCCAACTGGCACCTCTGTTCAATACATTCTTCCCATAGGAAGGGCACACGATGCCTCTGGAATACTTCAAATCCCAAGATGCCACCAAAAAAATCAAACCTGGGACCAAAATGACTCAAGTGGACATTTCACATAACTTGTTACGGGTCACCAGAGTTCTTAAAACAATACTTGACCTATGACAGGAGGTAAATGAGGGAAAAGTTATGTTTATCTGTATAAACATTTTCAAAAAATCAAGTTGTATTCATTAACTACGGAAAGTTAGCAAATGTGTCACAAATGAACAGAAAAAGGGAGGTTCCAGCCAAATGGTCTTTTTTACCCCCTTCCAACAAAGAATCACAGAATGGTTGGGGTCAGAAGAGACCTTAAAGATCACCTAGTTCCAAACCCCCTGCCATGGGCAGGGACACCTTCCACTAGACCGGGTTGCTCAAAGCCCCATCCAACCTGGCCTTGAACACTTCCAGGGATGGGGCATCCACAGCTGCTCTGGGCAGCCTGATCCAGTGCCTCACCACCCTCACAGTCAAGAATTTCTTCTGTAAACCTCTTCTAAACACACCCTCTCAGTTTAAAGCCATTAACCCTTCTCATATTAGAAAGGAGAACAATCTTCATTCAGGGGCATTTCACAAATCTGTTGACCTGCTGGGACATATCAGGTCACAATAAGATGGACAGCTTAGAATACAATTGATCAGCATGGAAAAAAGTCTCCAAATTGGAAGACCTTTCTACCAGCTCTAAGATAAAGCTCTCTTGATTAATCCATAACAATGAACTAAATAACAGATCCATCTCAATTCCTCTAGAAGAAAAAGAATAAATAAATAAGAGAACCCCCAAAACAAACAGAGACCCTGGAATTCAGAGTAGAGAGAGTACTAAAAAAAAAAAAAATAAATTATTTTTGAGATCCTGGCTGTGCCTTACAACAGTTTGCTTTGATCAGCCTTTAAAATGAGAAAGGCATTTGTTGACATAAGTTTGTAAATGCCTGCTCACACATTCAGTTTAAAGGTTTCTGTGATTGGAAAGATGGGATTTGGGTTGTTTTTTGGGTTTTTTCCTAACAAACAAAACTACTTTAAAAAGCAGAAAAGAGGGTGCAAGATAATCTAGAATAATATTCTGAAATTAACATAGATGAAAAGAGAAAAGGTAGACTTACTTGATTTTTGAAGCATGGTATTAAAGTCTATCATAAGTTCATGAGACGGAACAATATCATGCAAGATCTGAAAAATAAAAGGCAAAACACAGACACGCTGTTTTAATGTGAAAAAACTTTTGAACGCTTCTACCTGAACAAGAGAAGCACAGGCTTGAGAATTCTGGGTGACTAATTCAGAAAATTAAGCAATTTAGTACCTTACTGCCTTGGTGTAAAGAACGAGTGTCTAGGTCCATTCTGCACATCTGTGACACTACTCTGAGACACAATCGATGAAATACCTTGACAGCTGCTAAAAAAAACCACTGCATGTGGCAAATACAACATGGATTGAAGCCCAAATCCAGAAGGCAATGTCATTTTCTTCCCAGGCCAGTCCTAGCTGCCCTGTCCACTGCTCTGTGCATTGGATCGGTGCCTGGACCTATCAAACCGGTTCTTTGATTCGTCACTATTTTGTAAGAGGCTAGTGTCTGAAGCCACTGCTAAAAAAAGCCCTGAGAAGATGGAATTGTATACATACACCCCACAGTTTAAAAGCCTAAACTTTATAAAGCTGTTTTTAAACACCACCTGCACTAACGAAAGCACATTAGTGCCATCAAGTGGCAACACAAACTGCTTTAAAACACTGTTTGCAAGCAGTACAAAGACCAAGGAGCGTGGGCAAGGAAAGTAGAAATTTAAGAGCAACTGTACAAAAGCTTAGTCAAGCAAGGCCTTGCCTGCCAACAACCAGCAGATATTAACTTTTATTTTAGCTTTAATGCACAGCTCATCAAAAACAAGCAGAGAAACTAATTGCTAGACAGGATCAATATGTGAAAGAGCAAGCATCTAATAATTTCTACAATATTGTGAAGGTCCAACTTTAACAGAAATCAATGCTTGTTATGTACAAGACTGCTGATACAGACTTGTAGGACCATGTAAATACGTTCTCTGAGCTTGCTCACTGACTTCAAGAAGTGATATGATGTATCAGTCAAAGGCAAAGCAAGAACCGGAATTCCAAGACAGTAAAGGATACTGCTCCTTCCTCTAACTCCCCTCTAACCCTCTGCTTCCCACAAAGAATACAACAGGGTAAATAATGTGACAGAGTTCAAGGGAACCAAAGTGTCAGCATCACCCAACACGAATGACACAGACTGTATCTCCCATGGAACACACACCTTCAGTGCAGAGATGAGCGACTTCTTTGACTCGCCCTGTCTCTTCAGGAACTGGTAGAGGTAGACATGAGCATTGGGATTGGCAGGAAACTTTGAGTTGTAGGCATATTCATTCAGTACTTGGCAGGCTTCATTATGGTCTCCATAGAATTCCAACATCTAGGAAAAGTTAAGCCTGTCATTAATTTGCCAGATATATGCAATCAAACTCCTACAACCCATTTGGCACTGCCACAGAACTATCCAACATCAAAATTTGTATCTAAGAGTGCAGCATATTAGGTAAGATTAAAAACAGTGTATTTTCATTTTACTGACTACTCTCATGCCAGAGACACAAAAGTTCATACACAGAAGCTACTACATGAGAAAATTCCTTAACACTTCATTGTGAAGGAATTACTAGCACTTGCTCTCTGGAAAGAGAGCCTGCCATGTCTTAAAAAGGAGAGAACTTGGCGGATGCCAGCACCAAGGAAAATTCCCTAAGATGTGCTTAGAGAAGTCAGAGCTTATCAACATTGACAAACAGTAAATAATTCCAAAGAGATTTTAAGGTTAACTTTATTTCTTAGTTACAAATTCTAAGCAGATATTTAAAAAACCCAAACCAAAACATAGAGGGGCTGCACGTTTGGCGCCTCTAACATTTAATGTATCCAGAAAAAACACTGCCCTGCCAAAAAACAGAGAACTTGTTTTCAAGAATTCAAACAAAAGCAGCTATGCTCTAATTTCTGTAGCACCATGAAAAAAAAAATATGGAAGTTCTTTGTCTATTTCTTTCTCTTGACAATGCACAGATAAAGTCCTTTTTGTACTCTGTGCAGGTTCTGCAGTTCTACCAAGAGTAAACTGTGCTCTATAGCAAAGCCAGTGACATACACATACAAATGTGATCCTTTTATTTAAAATATTTTGTTTTCACCCACACATACATAAAGAAGCTGCAGACAGGCATCTTTATGAAACTTAGGCAAAAGAAATACACGTGTGAAACATGCCCTTACGTCCACATAGCATTTCACAAAGAGATCCCAGACTCCAGGTATTTTAATAATCTCCTTCAAGTTCACCGCTGCCTTCCGAAAGCAACTGTGCATTTCCTGTTCAACAGACAAGTCTGCAAATCCATCTGCACCTACCAAAACACCAAAGAATGCCACAAAGTTAGTTAAACAGGGACTTCAGTAAAGATGCCTCAGTTTTCTCAGTAACAAAACAAGAAATTTTCACTGCTCTTCAATCAAATTTATTACCCTGCAATTTCGGCTTATGGAGCATGATGAGCAGCAGTCCGAGACTCAAAGATGCTGCCAGCACAAGGTCCATTAACCAAATCCAACACAGCTTTCACAGAATCAAGTAGAGATCCAATCTAACACACAGGTATACACAGAATTAGATGTGACACACTTGTAGCAACTTAGGTATCTTTAAATAAACGGAAGTTCAAACACAAGTTTTGAGGGCTTTGCTATCACTCAAAATTTGAGCAGCAGTCAAGCAGTTGCATACCCATTAATCCACTGCTTTAAGTGAATAAATTTCTTTGACGCTAATTGGTTTTATTTCACACTGTCTGGATACAAGAAATGTGATTCAGGGGGAGAAAAAAGTTTTGGAACAGCCTTCCAGGGCACTTCAGAAAGATGTGGGTCAGTGTGCCATTCTGGTACCACCATCACTGCTCTTATAGAATTACGTACCAGCCACACCATCAAATGCTGAAGGAAAAGGTGTCATTGCAAACCCTGGTGTCTGCATAAGCCAGCAAGCTGAAGTCTACATCTCAATCCAAAAAACACTTACCATGCTCTAAGAGGATGTTCTTCTGCTTAGACCAGTTATAGTAGTCCAGCAGTCCCCTGTAAGCCTGAATCAGTTTCATTTCTTTATCCTGAATGGCTGTTTGTTCTCCAAACCTCCAGCTTTCTGCCAGGGACAGGTTTTGGTAAGCTTCATCTATTTGCCCATTACAAAGGAGATGAAAGACATGCTCCAAGCAGACCTGCAATTCAAACCGTCCAAACCACAGCATTTCACACCTCCAGTTGAGAGATTTTCGGCAATACAGCAAAGTTCTACACACATGTGTAGCAAAAGAGACTTCCTGACATGCACAAAAAAATATTGCCAACACAGTTAATAAAGTATTTTAATCAGAAGTTAAAATATTCTTTTATCCAAAAAGTATCTCTACAAAGAATTTTGGAGAGAAAGGAAAGAATGGGAGATCACAAGTGTCACTGTGGGGAGGGAGATAAGCCAAGAACCTACGTATTTTTTTCTGTCTGAAGATGCTGGAGAAACATTAGGAATTAAAAGCATATCTGATATACAAAGATACTTTCTGCGCCACAGGTTTAAATTCAGTCTTTTCCCTTCCCAGGGATACCTTCTCAGGAAAAGGGCTGAAGCACTGGAAATCTGTGGGGCAGAAAGCCACCCATCAAGTGGCAGACACTCAGTGGCACTGATCAAGGCAGCAGAAAGCAGTTGTCTCACAAACCTGCTTGTCTTCAACAGGTGCTATACCAGTTTCAGATCTAGAAATGACGTGAGGAAACCCAGTTGGGTTGCATCTGATGATTTTTCATTTGTCTACCCAACTGCAGAGCATCTGAAAGAGGGATGTCCTACCACGCTATCAATGATTGTTGATTAGGCACTGGTTCAAAGACTAAAGCTCCACTTAACTTTAGCAAACTCTTGTACAGAACTTCCTTTGAAGACCTTTAACAACAGAATGAAAGACAGAAGCACCATCCCAAGCCCAAGGAAACCAAGACAGTATAGGTTTGAATGAGCCACCCCAGGAAAAAAACCTACAGCTGAGTGACACAGATGTGCACAGTGTACTGTTGTACAGTCAGATCAGCTACTCGAAAAGTGAGATGGTAACGATGGCAACATTTAAGTACAGGTGTTTAGCCAGGAGCACAGTGGTCAAATTAAGGAGGGAAACAAAACTTGGCAGGTGTTAACCTGTAATTAGAATGTCATTGGGGCATGCATGAAAACTAATTTAACTGTTTCAAATTCAAATTGAAAGCTTAATTAAAGGGTCTAGGCACTTCTAAGAACTGACAATATGCATCTGTGATCAAATATATAGACCAAAGGAGATAAAGATATAAAATAATATTAAAATATCATGCAGTTGGTAACTCAAATGTATTATCTTCTTCTTCTTTTGGCACTAATGTCAGTAATATATTTCAAAAGAGAGGCTCAGAAACCAATATTCTATAAGTGTTCAGGTAAATGTGGGAAACCATCAAGACTGCTGTAAGTACTCACCTTCAAATACCTTTTTACTCCTAAAGTTTTCATCTGTTCCATGAAGCAGTTGAACTCTTTCATGTTGCTATGGGAATGATGGCACAGAATTTCAGTTCCTATTCTCCAAATCATCTATGGGTGGGGAGCAAGAGATTCAAAAACAACCTTAGCACAAAAATGGCAACAGTCACCTTATACACAGTCTTATCAAACCTAGTTACTGTAGCACATAAAAAAAGGTACAGTTGAATTGTGAATAAAAAAATAATACTAAGTATTATCTACTGTTACAGTAACTTACATATTCATCTCATAACACTTTTACAATCATTCAGTGGGTGCTTCATAATTGCTCGTTATAAATGCAGCACTCCAGCAAAGCTCATGAAAACTGCATTGTCAGAAGGTTCCTCTCTCCTGTCACTGAAAAATTATGTTCTCCTTTGACGTGATCCCACTGAGACACAAGATATACACAGCTCTTTGAACTTAGTAATAAAAATGATTTCCAATTACGTGTAGCTTCCCATCTACATGCACTTGTTTTCAAGGTCTGCAAGTTAGCAATATTCAAGTACTCCATTTCTTTAAAAGCTCTGATCCCTTTCCTTCCACTTGCTTCCATCTCAGTACCTGCAAGGAGTTTTGCAAGTACTGGAAGAGCCAGTAACAACCTAAATAAGCCATTAACTTTCAAACAGATTCTGACTGATGTCAGTGCCAGAGGCAAACACGTTCACTGCTTTTCCATTTTAGAAGACTACTTTAAGCTGACTTTTCATAGATACACTCCTGATGGAATTATTTTATACCAAGCCAAGTTTTCATCTCTTGTGCTGAAAATCTGTGTTTAAAAAAAAAACAACATCACCAAAACAAACAAGAAACCCCCACGCTAAACCCAACACAACCCCATAAAACCACCCTGCAAGCCCAAAGAACTTTCCAGGACTGCTGAGTGCCCTGCCAGGAAAAACACTGCAGATTCTCAGCACCCTTGAAACGAGATCTCAGCAGAATTAAGCTCTGGTAAGATGGGTTAAACCCTCAGCAGAAGCATGTCTGTGCAGGGGCAGGCTTTTGGTGAGTAATTGGACAGCATTTGCCTTGAGCACTTACAGTGAGGAGGTCGGGTGTACTTCCCGCAGCCTGCCACTCAACAGCTTCTACATCAACATCTGAAGAGTTGCTCATTTGCTTTTGGAAGTTTCAATGTCTTTATTTTCTGGTCTAGTTTATGAAAGTTGCATAATTTTTCAGGTCTTACCCGCAAATTTTCTTTTTTTTTTTTTTTTTTTTAATGAAAAAAAATCAAACCTGTGATTACTTAGTGAAGGCAAATGTTGGTCCTAAAGTGTTAGAGATACTGCTTGAAAGTATTTTTTCAACAGCAAAAGAACCCAGATAAGGGACATGGACTTACCTCTGACGGACCGACGGGTTCTCTGGAATAGTCCTTCTCTAGTGACTCAACATAGAAGGTCAGAAACTCTGCAGCCCTTTTCCACTGCTTTTGTAGCATGGCATCCTGAAGGTAACTTAGACAGGCTTCCTTGCTCTTCTTGAAGTTCAGTTTGTGTTCATGGGAAGATGCTAAACAAACAAACAAACAAACAAACAAACAAAAGATCAACCGAGCCCACAACTGTTACTTATTCAGATGATAATGTGCCCTCCGTTTCAGTATCTTTCTTATATAATCTTTCTTGGACACTATAGAAAGTGATCTTAAGCTCCGTGGTTTTGAAGATAGACACACCTACAAGTCCACAGTAAAGCAAAACTATAGGAAAAGCTGAAAATGTAACATGAAATAGCATTTTCTACAAACAGCACACAGCTGCATGCACTTAAAACAGTGAAGAGCCAATTATTTCACAATACTGCTCTACCAGTATTAGAAGCCCACAGTGCTTTGATAGCTTCACAGCACATTTTGTGATATTTTGGGAACGACTCTCTTCACTTACTAATCATCATCTAAGTTTGTGATGCCACTGTGCTGAAGATCTGCATACATGCATACAAACAGGCCATTCTAGTGCCAAAGGCTATGCAATTCCCACAAAGATAAATGTAGAGAATTATTCTCTTTTGAGTACAAAAGAGACCATTTAGCCTTCTTACATGAATAGTGTTTCAACTTATGATGTTGAAACCAGCACTTCATTCCCAGGTCTGTTTAAAAGTGGCCCTACAACAATGCTCATCCAGAAAAGCCTTCTGCAAGGCACATGAAGAGTTTACCAAGACACCTCCTGCCTGGATGCTGTAGGCAAAGGAATTACTTAACTTAGCCAGCATTTCAGTTATCACAGAATCACAGAACTGTTAGGGTTGGAAAGGATCTCTGGAGATCATCCAGTCCAATCCCTCTTGCCAAGGCAGGGTCACCTCTAGCACATGACACGGGAACTCCCCCAGGTGGGTTTTGTACGTCTTCAGAGAGGGAGACTCCACAACCTCCCTGGGCAGCCTGTTCCAGTGCTCTGCCACTGTCAATGTAAAGAAGGGCTTCCTCATGTTGAGGTGGAACTTCTTGTGTTTTAGTTTATGGCCACTGCTTCTCATCCTGTCGCTGGGCACCACTGAAAAGAGTGTGGCACTGTCGTCTTGGTACCCGCTTTTGAGATATTTATATGCCTTAATGTGATCCCCTCTCAGTCTTCTCTTCTCCAGATTAAACAGGCACAGCTCCTGTGGTCTCTCCTCATAAGAGATGCTACAGCCCCCTTATCACGTTTGTGGCCCTCTGTTGGACCCTCTCCAGCAGCTCCTTGCCATTCTTGTACTGAGGAGCCCCGAGCTGGACACAGCACGGCAGATGTGCCTCGCCAGGGCCGAGTGGAGGGGCAGGATTCACCTCCCTGGACCCGCTGGCCATGTGCACTTTCTAACGCACCCCAGGACATCACCTGGCCGCACGGGCACACTGCCGGCTCATAAAACAACTAAGGCCATTTTCGAATCTCTTTCTCCCGCTAACAGGCGATCTGGAGAGCAGGAGCTGAAATCCGGTGCCATCGTCCCCACCGCAGCACGAAGGAGCTCACAACGAGAGCCCGCGCAGCCAGCGCCGCCCTTACCCGGCTGGTGGGGGAGCGCCGGCAGGAAGGGCAGCTGCAGAGGCGGCTGCAAGGCGCTCCCCGCCGGGGCGCCGGGGCTCCTCCTCCTCCCCGCCAAGGCCTCCTCATCCTCCTCCTCCTCCAGGAAGCTGTCCATGGCGCCGCGGGCAGCCCGCCACCTCCTCAGCTCATCCGCAGCGGGCACCTCCCACCTCGTGGGGCAGGATCCGTCGGCCAAGCCGATCCCGGAGGATCAGCTCGGGCCGGGCGGGCAGCGGCCGGACCTGCCCCTCACGCCGGCGATTCCCGGCAGGCGCGCGCGGCACGGGCGGGGCGATCCCGGCGGGCACCCGCGTGCCGAGGGACGTGGAGCGGCTCTGCCGCCATGACGGGACAGGGGGGCGGGGCACGGCGCTGCGCGTGCGCGCCGGGAGAGGCGGGCATGGCCGCCGCCATGAGGGAGGAGCGCGCTCCGTGTGCCCCGGGCGGCCGGGGGAGGGTGCGCTGTTCCTGCTTCCCTCTGCCCATGGAAGGGGGAAAATGGAGAATGCCGGCCAAGGGTGAAGCAGGAGGGATGGGGAGCGGCACGGGCGGGTAGCTCTGTGTGTGTAGTGGTGTGGCAGGGAGGTGTTTAATTCTACACGTAGCACCAACATTACTAGAGCCCTGACTCGTGCACTGGTTACTCTCAAAGTGACTTAGCGAGGTCCTGTTGTCACTCTTTCCATTAGCTGTGTTGCTGCTTTTCTGGTAGCTTGTAATTCGTCATGTTCTACAGAAGCAAAGGACTCCCAGTCAAAATCCTGAGCATTGTAGAGCAACACTGTTGCCTATGCCCCCGCAGAGTACCTGGATTCTGGGAATCTGCCTCAACCACAGATTCTGGTTTGTACAAGTTTGTACTGGGACTTGTTTCTTTAAACCACTTGTAGCAACTGAGTTTTTCGTGGATGTTTTGAAGTGGGTAAAGTCCAGTTTTCTGTGTACGATTTTACAGAGGTTTTTCAGAACAGCTCTAAAGTCGGAGAGTGTGTAAACAATCAGCTGGCTCGGATTGAAGGTTCATGTAATGCATGAACTGGTTCAACTGTGATCAATAACGTGTATCAGGAGAACGGTACAAGGCAGAACACTTGTTTGCAGCATATAAACGCTGAACCTCAGTACTATACCTTAATATGGCATTTAATAAATCCGTGAAGGGATAACAAGTCTCCCTTTACTTTTTCTGTATTTTTAATCCTGTGTTCTTCCAGTATACAACCAGCATTTCAGTTCATAAATATTTTGTATTATTAATTGATAATTAACTTACTGGACTAGTGATGATAAACTGTTATAGAGCACCACCTCTCTAAGACTGTCATCTTCTTTTACTGTCTTTTATAATTGGTACCCTCTGTGAGTATCTATCTCATTGATCCTTGGTGTTCCCCAAGTGTGATGGCACTTCCTACAACATTTCTGATCTTTTATTCTGTCAGTTGCCTAATTTCAGTGTCCAGCTTACCCCACTTTATTTGTAAAAGTTTTCACGTTTGCATAGAAGGATGTTTACATTTGGCTTGTTATTTTTATTTTCTTGTGTCATATGTGAGTGAGAGTCTTTGCAGATTCTTAGATAAACTTAACCAACTGATCTTGTTAGTGGGTATCAGTTATTTTAGTAGATATTTGAGCGCAAAATAGATAGGAGAACTGCTTTGTAACTGTAGATTCCCACAAAATGTTAGATTTCACATGTACAGTGGGGCTACTCTCATAGTTGAATACATCTCTTTCCAACATTGGGGCTGAAGACTGAAGAAAATTTTGCCTAAAATATCTAAATTGAACTAAGTAAAATATTTCTGGTTCATGTCACACACTGGGGAAAGCTGGGCACGTTAATAAGTGGGTGTGCTTTTACTCTGAAATACTTGAAATGGTTGGGAATGCTGGACGGTTGCAGTGGTGATCTTGTGTATACATACTGGCTGCTCGATGCTCGCTGTTGCACAATAAAGGCAATGACTTATGCAAGAACTATGGGATCTTTTTTTGTTTCACATCTCCCTTTCTTGCCCTTGTCTTTATGACCAGCAGATACTGTTACCTTATATCTTGGTCTTTTAATAAAGATAAGCTTGATAACTTTGTACTGATGGAAAATTACTAAACAGCTTTTTTTTCACAAGAGATTGGACCTAAAGGTGTGGGCATTAGAACACAAGAAATATTAGTGTTGAGGGGAAAATGCCTGTCTTTCATTCGTACAGTCATCATAAAACGTGACTTGAATTCATCTGTTTTTATATTGTAAATTGTGACAAAATTCACTTTTAGATTTTCTGAGTTAGGCTTTCCTAGAGCTTTTTATTAACCAATATCAGCGATGGCAAATAGGTATCACCTCATTTTATAGGAAGTAAAACACAAAAATGTCAAAAAAATTACAGGGGGGGGGCTACAGCCACGATAATGCACTAGGCCTGGAGAACATATATAGGCACTGGGTGAATGAATTATTGCATTCCTGTAGCATGTGGATCCTCAGGATGGACAGGCAGGATGGCCAAGGTCGGCAAAGAGGTACCAACACTTCACTGCAGCACTAAGGAAGACACCTGTTTCTACCTTGATACTTTTTCCTAGCGTGATTAAAACATTAAACTGCACAAGACGGAGGCTGTAAATTAAATGCTTACATACTTTTCAGAGATTACATAGCAGTAACTAAACTTGGATCTCAGGCCCCATATGATGGAGAAATGAAAGTGTGTAGAGCAAAAAATCAATAGTCATGAGGATGGGATAGGAGCACATGCGATTAGCAGTGGTGATGGCTAACTCTTGAGATGTAACATTTAGAAGGGCTCTTAAAAAAACCCCTCAGCTGCCCAGAGTTGTCCTTTGACATTCACAAAAAAAAAAAAAAAAAAGCAGGATCATTCACCTTGACTATGAGTTCAGCTTAGTGCCTGCTCATTTTGGGAGCCGCTTCAGAATTTGCCCTTTGGAAAGTTAAAAAAAAATAAAATTAACCAGCAAGAGGACTCTCTTACATTACCTGTCCCTTCTTGGCTGTGTCTTTTAATCTCTTCGTCCACTCAGAGGCTGTGCTGATTAACATGAGACTGAAAAAAAGGAGGGATAAAAAGGTTTGGGTTTTCAGCTGTACATTAGCATTGTAACTTCTTACTGTCATCCTGCTATTTTAGATCGCTAAAGCAAAATGAAAGTGATGGATGTGAAGAAAAGGGAATGGTAACTGAAACCGTTTTGGAATTCTGTGATTTCATGATTCTCTTCTGCTCTCCCCCATGGAGCTGTGCAGCTTTCCTTCACCAGGACTGCTTCTGACATGACAACTTCCATTCAAAGCAGAAGATTGTAAAGGCCAGAGAACAGCAAGTTCAAGCCTGCGTAACCAATTGAATTCACATTGTTGGTGATTTTGATGAGAACTTTGAAACACTAGTGCATTTAATTCGCATTAACTACTCACTGTTTTGGTGCTACTGTGTATATAATAAGCCAAATTCTTCTGCTCTCAAAACTTTGGAACATGGAACATTTTGGGATCGTCTCAAACGTGTCAGACTTGATGATCCCTGTGGATCCCTTTCAACTCAAGATATTCTGATTCTGGAAGGGCAGGCACAGATGTACGCAAGCTTTCTGTTTGCAAACATTCAATACTTAAAATGTATCAGCAAGTGGAAGCTGCAGTTACAGAAGGGCAAGGATGGGCCTGGTGTGAAACCCTGACTTTCCCCAGTGGAACCACGGCTGAGTGAGTTCCGACGCCCGCCTTCACCGCAGGTGTAACCTCAGGCTCTCGGAGGTCACCGAGGGAGGTGACGGCTGCTCCTCCACAGCGGAGATGAGAACTGCTCGGCGGGGCAGCCAGAGGGATGTTCGGGTCTGTCGTATCCTTACAGGGGCCATCTTCACCCTTCCTGCCCTGCGGCCAGGCCGCTGCGCCGCTCGCTACTCCAGCGATTCTCTGCTAGAGAGACCCGCTATTAGTAAGCCCAAATAGGAGGCAGGACCTTCCCTCTTCTCTCCCCTGCGGGGCGAACCTGAAAAAGAGCCTGACTCCTGCCGGGCGCGGCGGCAGGGATCGGGACGGGGATGGGGATGCCGCCGGCAGAGAGGGAGGGTCCGTGCGCTGCCCTCCTCCTCCCGCCGCGGCGGCGGCGGGGCCGCGCTCATCCCTCCCCCGCCACATCGCCCTCCCGCCGGCGCTGCTGACGTGTCTGCTCCCTCCCTCCCTCCTCCGTCCCTCCTTCCCTGCCGGCGCCTGCCGACATGGCCGCAGCCCCGCCGCCGGACCCGCGGCTGCTGCTCGCCCTGCTGCTGCTGCTGCCCCCGCCGCCCCTGCGCTGCTGCTCCGCCGCCGCCGCCGCCGCGCCCGACCTGGGCCGCCGCTTCGCCGAGCGCAAGCGCTGCGCCGACCCCGAGTGCAGCAGTGAGTGGGGGCGGCGGGGGAAGGTGGTGGTGGTGGGCAAAGATGCCTCCCAGAGGCGCTTCCCAGAGCCCCCTTCCCCCAGCTCCCTCCTGGCTTTGGCACGGAAACCGGGGAGAATCGGGAAAACGGGAACGCGGCGCCCACGCGCGCCGTTCCTCTCCCCTTGGCCAAGTTTTCAGGTCCCCGCAGCTCCGTGGTTGTGTTGTGGGTTTTTTTTTTTTTCCCTCCCCTGCAAAGCCCTCTCGTGTTAAACCCGCTCTCTGGGTGTTCTCTGTGCGTGGGATAATTTCAGGACTTGATTCGCTGGGACGTGGATGTCGTCTTTCTAATTTAACATTAATAATTAGCTTCATAGTGCCCCTCAGAAATGTAATTCTCCAGTGCTTCGTCAAACGCTTGTCTTGATCAGAATACTTGCCTTTTTTCTTTTATAACTAAATATAACTATTTAGTTATATTTTAAACAGAATAATTATAAATATAACTATTTAGTTATATTTTCTATAACTAGCTTCATCTGTTATTTTAGCTATACTTTCACTTAAGTTATCTCTTCACCCAATCTGGAAAAATAGGAAAGCGGTGCTTGCAGGCAGGTCTTGTTTACTGCCAGTTGGCAAAGTCCCTTTTAACGAAACCGGTGTATTATTACTATTATTTTTTTAAGTAGTACGCTTCTCTTTGTTTTCTTTGGACAGTGTTAATGTGCCGAGGGAAGGCAATGAGGGATTTTAAAGGTCCAGATTGTCGCTTCGTAAATTTTAAGAAGGGAGAAGCGGTGTACGTATATTACAAACTAATAGGAAAATCAACGGAGCTTTGGGCTGGAAGTGTAAGTACTGTAAAGCATTTCTTTTGCTTGCTCTTCTTGGAATCTGTTTTTCTTCCTTTTGCTTTGTAAGAGAATGCTTAGAGTTTTGAATATGGCTAAATAACACAATGAATACCGTTTTTTCCTGAGACCAGTGGGAAATGGGATGCGGTTGTGAAAAACGGGCAACATTAATGTGTGGTAAAAAATGTTAGAAAACTGCTTTTGTGTTGGAAACCTCCCATTGCAGCACTGTTAGTGGTGGCCATGGGCCTGTCTGGAAGCTGAGCCTCCCTTTCCACCTAGGGAGGCTTGAGCCTGTGGTTGTGTTTTCCTAGGACGTGGTCTTATCCTGCTCTCTGTAATCCTGCTAAAGATCGCTCCATGTACATGTTTTAATTGCTTTTCTCTTCCTACTATTCATCTGCAGTTGGAGGAAAAAAAAGGTAGTAAAACTAAAAAGGATTAGGGTAAATTTGATTTTTTTAAAAGGTCTGTCTCTCTCTCAGCTGCACTGTAGCAGCTTGGAGAGTAGTGGCCTTGTCTGAGTCAGCGTCTTTGGGCAATCTGAGAAGCTTCGGCTAACGGAAAAAGAACATCCCCATACTTGCAGTTATTTCATAGAAAACTCCTCTTGACTTTCATAAGCACCTTATTTGCCTGACAGAAACAGAACTGAGATACCCCAGAGGAAGAGCAGTTTCTGTGGGCTTCCCTTGAAAATGCTGGCAATCTAGAGCTGGCTTAAATCTAGTCCCTGTTGCCTCCTCCCCGTGTATAACCTTCTTTGTGTCCAGATTGTTTACTATAACCTTCTTTGTGTCCAGATTGTTTACTTCAACCTCCTTTCTTACTCTGATCTTCCCAAGAGATCAGAAAGTTGGGCCAGTGGTCCAAGGTGCTCGAAATCACACCTGGGTGTAGACTGTGGGACTAGTGGTTTAGTGAAACTCAGGATGTATCACTTTCTGTAACCACTTCAGGCTGGGCGTGGATAGCCAAGCTCTCAGTAGGAGCTGAATCCAATTAGAACTATACAGAAGAGAGTAGAAAAACTGTAGCACGTGGTTAAAGAAGAGTTTATAATTGTATCATGCTGGTAATTCCCTCCTGACATGTACTGTACCATAAATAATATGGTTAATTAGCTGGTAGAGGTTTCCAGGGCTGCCGGTTCTTGAGACGCGGAGTAGCAGCGTGGGGCCAATTTTGCATCTACTAACGAGGTGTAATGCAGGCTGCAAGATCAGACAGCAGGGTAAGGTAATTGCCGAGTTAATATTCAGTTGAATTATTCACTGATAGGAAGCTCATGCAACAGTTAGGTGTGTCTCCAAGTTAAAAGGATGTTTGCTTTGAGTTTAACGAGTAAAAGCCAAAGCTGGCAGGTCTGAAAGAATTGCAAAGCTCCATTTTATTTGTTGTCATTTTTCAACTGTGTTACACTATTTTCAATGTTCCTTTTAGGGCTGTGCTGACAGACTGATTTCTTTTAGTTGGTGGCTATAACCATTATTTCTTTTTTTGCCCAGTTTGTCTGATTGCTGCTGCACTAATTGTACCACTGCAGCAATCAGTGTGGAAGCGCTGCAGCAGGGTCAGAGGTGCCTGCCCTTGCATGTTGACTCTGCCCCTGTCCCTGACTCCCAGATAGCACTGGGGTTTCTCTCCTGCAGTGTGACTTCCCATGCCAGGTTTGGCTGGGCAGCTTGATTTATGCAGACCAGCCGTGCCTGCTGTGTGCAGTCTTGGAGCTAGGGGGAAGCTGCTCCTTGCTAATTAAAAACAGGCTACCCAGTGAGATCTGCCATCAAACAAATTCCAGTGGAAGGCATTTTACCTTCTGCCACAGCCCTTTTGGGATCTCGTCACGTCGCTTCATGTGGGCTTTGTGGGCATCCTTTGATCCCGTGCATCTGCCCTGCTGCCTTTTTCCATTCCCCAAAGTTTTAGGGGTAAAGGATTTGTTAGGGGCTAAAAGAAACTTTGAAATCAAGGGATAACTGGGATTCTGATCTTCAGGTGTGGGCAGAGGTTAGAGGAATGCGTGTATGAGAAGGTTCAACCAATGCAACCTTATTTCAAACAAGTTGTAAATACAGACTCTGATCCTGAAATCGATTTGGAGGAGCTATGAGAAATTCAACAGTATTTCTCACCTGAAGAGAGATGATCTGATAAGAAAAGGAGCCTTTCAGCAAGGCTGAAAAATCTATAGCAGTTAGGTCTGGGCTTTATTTGCCTTCGCTTTCCTAATTCACTCCACCCTTTTCAAGCCATTGTTGATTATGTTTTTTATTGCCCTGTGCCAGCAGACATGTTGCATTTTGATAAAATAGGTCCCTTATTTTGTGTTCCCAGTCTTGTATACTTTATTGTTTACAGAGCACACACGTTGGTCATTTTGCAAGTGAAAAAATTCTGCAACCTAGTTGTATATTCTATACATTATATAGCATGCAGTTTTTAGCAGAGCTATCTAAACCTCATTAATAAAGCAAAACCAAATGCTTGGAAAATACTCTATGACCATTATTTAGTAGTAATTTTATTTTGTGAATTTCATGAATACATCAAGTCTCCTCTTCAGCATCAACCTTGTGTTGCTTACTCCCTCAAGCTGTTATGTAGACTCTCCTCCTATGCATTTCTCCTGCACTCTGCCCTCACTTTAGCAGGGTCCAGAACTCCCAGAGTAATTCAGGTAATTCCAAGTAAAAAACTGCTTTTTAACAAAACCTTTTTGTCAAATACACTTTAGGATTGTTATTTTATCTTATGGCAAAGGGATGAACTTCATGCCTGTGATTTAAGGTCGAGAAAACTATTTCTGGCTTAATGTTACAAGAAATGGACTTGTCTGCAGATTGGGGCTTTTTTGTGTGGTTGCCTTTTGGTTTGTTTTTTTCTTTTGTTTGTTTGTTTTCAAATCTTGTACATAGCTTAGTAAAAAGGAAGACAGGAGGGGTAAATTTAAAGTAAGAGAGGAAGACAGAGTATGTTTGGAGGACCAAGAGGATTAGGGAAATTCTGTGTTTTCTTAGCAATGCCAGCACTCAGCAAGGGCAAACCAAATGAGCTGATCTTTGCCCAGTAATGTTCTGCAGTTTTAGGTACCTGTGATGCCTGTACTTTAGGGATGTGGGCTGTAAGACTAAAAACATTTGAACCTCGTCTTTCCCAGCTGTCTGTTTTCTGGTAGGTGTTGTGAGGATCTGGCTTCTTGGTCAGTGAATCTGCTGCAGCTGCCTGTCACACGTGGGCACTGGTGGGGACAGATGCTGCACACACAGCTACGTGTTTTGTCCATGCACAACACTTCAGCTGGAAAGAGAGTGGAAATGAAAGATGCACTTTTTTTCTCCCTTATTTACTTGGCATTCACAATGCTTCTCCTCTCTCAAGTCTGTAGAGAATGAAGAATGTTTCCTTTATTTGCACAATGAGGCATTTTTTTCCCTTACAAGAGAGGACTTGTAGGGAGAGAAGCAGATGAAATTTTGGGCATGCAGGTCCCATATGGCTCATAAACCACAGAAGTGGCAAACTGGGTCACTGCAGAGGACTTGTATGGTCAGCAGCTTGGATTGCAATAAATGAGTTTCCAGTTGTGATGCTTGATTATAATGGGAGTCACAGAGGTTAGTAAGAAGACTACTTTGAAGCTTCAGCTTTTGTTTTCAGAAGGATTGCTTAAAACTGGAGTAGAAGTTTGGGGAGAAAAACAAGCCTATTTAGAGTAAAACTGTAGTATACCAAGCAAGGATGAGCTTTTGATTTGACTTGGCAAAATTAATTTCTCATTCCTGGTAATTCCCAATAATAAACCTGTATATATTATCTATTTTCTGTATGAGAGTATATGTGTTTGCAAAAGGTGGGGAGGGAACAGTTTTTTTTTTTTAATATACTTGTAACTAACCTCAGAGATATCAACTATGGAAGGCAAAATTTGAATGAGAAATAGTAAAGAAAGGAAGTCCTATAATACATCAGGGCTTACTTTGCTTGCACATCAAAACAAACACCCCCAAAAATTATTAGCATATATTATTTACTAGATACTAATTCCCTCTCTTCTTTTTTTTTTCTATGGTATTGTAAATCCAGAAAACTACAACTCAGGTTAACCTATTTCAGTGCAATCAGTTTAACAATACTTATATCTCTGTGTCCCTAATTGTTTTGACATAACTGGTTTCTTCTTTAATTTGATCTTTAGCTGAGCGCTCTTCCCAAACAAACTCTTCAAGAAAATGGGCAATTGTCATTTTCCTCCTATAACAAATGACTGAGGAAATGACCAACATTATTTGTCCCCCTGGATATTTGACCCCCCGGTCATCTAGGAACTCTGTACCTTTTTAGGTGTGTCTAATTACCTGAATTATCTAATCTGTGGAGTGATAGCATGCTATTAATATTGGCTTCTTGACAGCTGTTGTCAGAACTCCCAAGTGAGAGCGTTGCTGTGTAGATCTTATCCAGTGATTGATAAGAGAGATTCTTGTCTTCCACTGTTTGCCTTGGCTTAACACGTTGACTTGCTTGAAAATAGCCATTTGTGACTGATTTTTGCTTGTGTTAGGCAGTGAAGATCAACAGTGCATTTGCAGAGGAGGACATATTTTCCACACAGGTTTTAAAATGATTAGTACCTCAGGTACAATTTTTTCATTTTCCTACAATCTGCTTTAAGAATTTATTTTTTCCTGTAAGTTACAAAGTGAGCATATTCTGGGCTATATAATATTGTGCATGGGTGTAAATCTTATTAGTCGAAGATCCTCTTCTGCTTGCTGCTTGAGAAAATCCTCGAGGCATGTGTGGTGCCCCTGAGAGCACACAACAGCAGTTACCTGTACATGAGCCAGAATGCATGGGCTTTGCTCCCAGCTCTCCTAATAATTTGTTTTATGTCAGGCTTTAAAACATAAACATTAATACCCACCAACTTCACAAGGCTGTTGTGAAATGTAGTAGAAAACCTCAATGAAAACAAGGTGTCACTGGTCTTTCATTCACTGTGTTAAACTTCATTTAGAATACTTGAGAGTCAGTTTGACATATTTTTTACTGGTGTCTGCAGTTAGGATTTTTGACGTGGTTGCATGATTTCTAAAGCTTCTTTACTGCTTTTTTGTTTGCTTGTGTGTGTTTTTTTGACAGGTTGGAAGTGATTTTGGATATTTTCCAAAGGATTTACTTGAAATAAATCATAATTATTCCAATGAGGAGCTAGAATTGCCAACAGACGTAAGTATTCTTTTTTTCTTTTTCAGTTGGGCTTCTTACTGTTTCCTAACCTCAGCATTCAGTAAAATCCCTGAGGAGGAGATGGGAATATCAGTGATTTTTAGTAACTTTCTGTTAGTAAGCAGCTACATATGTGCAAAGGTGCACATATATGTGGGTGGTGGAAGTTTGTGCAGCTATGTATATGGATGTATGTGAAAGCATCAGCCCCAAAATGTGGGCATTGTTCTTTCTTTTTTTTGAATGTTATGGTTTTCTTCTAATGGAATGTGCTTGGACTGAACTCTAGAAGTGCCACTAGCTGGCTTGAGCACAGGTTTGTTTGGTATGTATTCAAAATAGTTTCTTTTCCCAAACTTTCGAAGTTTAAAGTCCTGTCAGAAACAAAGAAAACCTGATACGCTTAGCCCTTTGATTCTAGAATTGCTCCTTCAGCCCTTTCACGCATGAACGGCTTTCATGCTCTAGTAGCTGGTAACTCCACAGCTGTGTGATTAAGGCCTCTTTGAGGCTGCAGTGTTGGACAGAAAGTCAGTCATATCCTGGGCTGACTCCAAAGCAGTTTGGCCAGCAGGTCAAGGGAGGTGATTCTGCCTCCTCTGCTCCACTCTGGTGAGACCACATCTGCATCCGGCTCTGGGGTCCCCGGCACAGGAAGGACATGGACCTGTTGGAGTAAGTTCAGAGGAGGCCACCAAGATGATTAGAGGGATGGAGCACCTCTCCTGTGAGGAAAGGCTCACAGAATTGGGTTTGTTCAGCCTGGAAAAAAGAAGACTTTGGGGTGACCTAATTCCAGTACCTGAAGAGAACCCGCAAGAAAGCTGGAGAGAGACTATTCACAAGAGCATGTAGTGGCAGGAGAAGAGGGAATGGCTTCAAACTGAGAGTAGGTTTAGATTGGATACTAGGAAGAAATTCTTTACTGTGAGGGTGATGAGGCGCTGGCACAGGTTGCCCAGAGGAGTCGTGAATGTCCCATTCCTAGAAGTGTTCAAGGCCATGTTGGATGGGACTTTGAGCAACTTGGTCTAGTGGAAGGTGTCCCTGCCCATGGCAGGGGAGTTGGAACTAAATGATCTTTAAGGTCCCTTCCAATCCAAACCATTCTATAAAATCATGTTCAGTGTCTTGCACTGCTTCTATTTATTTTTCAGAAATTGTGTGACAGGAAGTTCCTCCTTGGAGAACTTGGTCATGTAAGGAGAGACTAGCAAAGAGATCGTGACAAACAAGCTTAGCAACGTTTGTTTTCTTCTCTTTACTGCCATTCAGCAATAGACTTGTTCTTGATTCAGGATATATGATGATGAGTAAAGTGTAATACTGTCAACTCTGTTGCTGACTTCCACTTTGTTCCTCGCTAGGAGGTCTCTGGCAGGGCAAAGCCAAACACTTTTTATTTAGGCTTTTGTGAGTCCTTGGGCGAAACCTCCACCGACTTCAGAACTTTGGTTAAGGACGCAAGAGGTCAATTCTGCAGGATTATTGTAATTTACTTCGCTGCTGCACCTCTCTCTAACTAGGAAAAGGGATTTGGTCTCATCACTGTAATAAATAAAATAACATTTTTGACTACATATTGTTTTTCATTTCAGGAAACAGACTTCGTTTGCTTTGATGGCGGAAGGGATGACTTTGACAACTATAACGTGGATGAGCTTTTAAAGTCATTGCAAGAGACGATAGCAAGCGAAGGGGAAACTGAACTGAGTGATCCAGGGACAGAACCAGCTGAAGGAACAGAGAGGGATAAGGAGACTGAACAGGCTGGTAGAGTAATGTCCCCTGGTGCTTTGGAGACAGGCGAGCGGAGCACTGAAGAAGACAAGGAAAACCTTGTCTTGACGCATGAAGTAGACAGTTCTCTTACAGAAGGAACTGAAAATACTGGGGGACACTCCAATGCCAATAGTCACAAAGAAAACTCTCAGGGAGACCAAATTGCACATGAGCACTTGAAAGGAATGCTACATGGGAAATTAAAAGGGCTAGAAAGTGAAAATACCAAAAACACTAGTATTCCTCAGGGTGAAACAAGTCAACTTGACCAAGAGAATGAAGAAGTCAATGCCTATACACTTTTAAACAGAGAGCTCTCTGTGAACTTGAAAACAAAGTTTGGTTCAACTGCTGATGCTGTTGTATCAGATGATGAAGTGACTCGCCTTGTTACGTCACTGGAAGATGATTTAAATGACGATTTGAGCATTAATCCTCCTGATGCAGAGGAGGAGCCAGACTTTGACGATCAGTCTGCAGAAATCCCTTTGCTGTCTTTTACGGCAGAGGATGAAATCACATCCCCAGAGGATTTAGAAGATGATGGAAACGATGATGTTGAGTCACAAAACCATGAACCTGATGAAGATGCAAAGGGTGCTACAAAGCTAAATAACCAAAGAGACAATGAGGAGGAACCCAATTCAGATGCATTAATTCTTGAGGATGCCTTCAGTAGGAGCAAGAGGTCAGGTGACAGTGGAAGTGTGGACAGGTCCGAATTTAAACGGACAAAAGAGAAACAGGATGACGTGGTGCTAATTAGTAAAAGAGGAGCACCAGCAACAACTCAACCTGATGATCTCTCCAAAGAACTCCTTAGAAAGGAACCTGTAGGTTCTGGTGATCTAGTTTCAAAAGAACAAACAAACAAAACTGAACAGTTTGAAGAGCAGCACACTGATGGAGCAGAGTCACATCCTGGAGTGCTGAAGAGTACAGCTGTGCCTGATCCTCCTGCTTTGCCTAGTCCAGAAGATGATCTGGAGTCCAAATCATTTGTTAAAAACAAGCAAGATGCTTTACAACCATCTGCTGATGGTATTAACAAAAGTCCCAAAAGAGTGCCACTTGCTCAAACAGAGAAAAGTGAGAAAAGGTTTGAGGGTGATACCTCAGGGGAGGTCTTTGAGAGCGATTTAAAGCACAAAAGGTCGTGGGACAAAACAAATGAGAAAGGAAGAGCTGAGAACAAGCCTTCTTTTGATGTTCCAGCCAAAACAGTGGAAGAGGTACAAAATGCATCTCAAAATGACCTTGGAGATACTGAACTCTTGAGAGTGAAAGTGGAGCATGGAATGCCTGCAGTGGAGAAAGAACTTCTTGGACATGAAGATTTAAATCAAAGAGGGGAGATTGATCATGAAAATAAAAAAACTGCCTCTCCTAACAAAGAACTGGAAATGAAAAGCAGAAACATGAAAGAAACTCCTGCAGGGGAGGGAGAACCAAGCCATAGTGGAGCTGTTGAGCAACACAGGCCATGGGAAAATGAGACTGAGTATTCAGAGGCAAATGTGAATGAAGAACCATCAAGAAATCCTGGCAAGATGCCAGCATTTGAAGAAAGCATTGAGAAAAGTTCCCCTGAAGAAAAATCAAAAAGTACTACACAGAATACTAATACAGAGAATCTTACTCAGCAAGGAACTGCTCATACTGAGGATGCAGATTCAGACAGAAATCTTGGCACAGATTTAGCTAAAGAAAGAACTCTAAGACCAGAATTGCAATCTGAAGAGCCACATGCTGAGGAGGACCCTGACCTGAAACAAGAAGAGGATGAGCTGCTGGAAGATGAGAATGCAGCAAGTGCAAAGCTGTCACAAGTAAGGGCTGCAAATGTACAGGGTGATACACTAAATATTGAAAATACAAATCCTGAATTGGAAGGACTTAGTGAAGCTGTTTCAGGAACCCCAAATCCTACTTACAAAACAGGAGAGGACACAGACTCAATTTCTAAGGAGGATAAAAGAACAATCAGCATGCAAAATGCAAGTGAGACTGGGAACAAAGATGTTGATGTACCAGTAAGAAGAGATGCTAAATTGGATGAGATGGAATATGTCATGGAAGATGATGAGGAGCCTTCTGAAACTGAGGAGCCATCGGCTGTGGAAGAAGATAATTTCCAATCTCCTGACACAGAAAACAGCGATGACTTTGACCAAAAGAAAGATCATCTCCCAGAGGGCATGTCACAAAAAGACTCAAAAGAGGTGCAAAATTTAGAGCATACGAGAAATGACCAGCAGCAGTCTGCACATTTCCCCAGCCCTGCTGACAGCTCAGCAGCCACAAACGACACTGTAACAGACTTCAATGAGTCTGTGAAGCGGCTCACAATAATAAGAGACTTTCTGGATGAGAAGCGTGTGATGCGTCTGCAAAAGTACCTTGGGTTCCAAGAGGTGGTCAGGATAGAAGCCATGTTCCATGACATGAAGGTGGAGATGGAGCTTGCTCGTGAGGCAAGCCATAATAACGGAGATGTAGAAAAAGCCTTGGACCAGATACTTGAGTTTTCAGAATCGAACATTATGGATGTTGTAGGAAAAGTTCTGGATTCCAGAGTGGCAGAAAATAAAGAGGAGGTGGTGAAAGAGATGGATTTGTATGATGAGGAGAGTGCACTGATGGATGACATTCAAGAATTAATATATTCTTTAAGGAGTAAATATTCATCTGCTAGTGAGAGTGTCCCACTTGCATCTACTCCAGAACAGGAAGATGACCAGCTGTACATTGAAGGTAGGATGTCAAATCAGTTACTAAACAAATGAAACGGAAGTAAAACCCTATCCCAGGCAACACTACGTAACCCAGAGAAGGCCTAAGAAGAGTGTGAGGGAGTAGAATCGAAAGAGGCCTTGTGAAATATTCTGGGATTTTGCTTATTTTTCATGCATGTTTTCAGCGTTGTGATGAGTGGCTCAGGGACGGATCCTGAGAGGAAGTGTTGAGCTCAGCATGTCTGTTCTTATGGGCCAAGTTCTATGTAAGATAAGGGGCATCCATGCATGGACATGGCTAGAAGTAGCCAGTCAGGACATGTCTGTACCTCCTTAAGAAACTGAGATTCATATATACTAATGTGCTGAATTTTCTGGAGGGTTTGGAACAGTCTTCTTTTTTTTCCTGAACTAGTTAGCACCTAGTTATGAGAGATACCCAGTGATTAATGCAAAGTTGAGGTACTAAATCCCTGCACCTAAAATCTCTGGTGTCTCTATTATATTTTTCCCCACATTGGTAAAAGAGCATGTTGGTAGAAACACTGAACAAAGAGATCTTTTGATGGGGGAAGAACCAGAGATACAGTCTGCTACAAACTTGCTGGTTTTTCTAATTACTGTGTAAGATGTTAAGATACGCTCTTAGCAAGGCTCCTTTTACAGTAGTACATCTTAGGTATGTGATTTGTGATAAGGTCATGAGTGATTAAAATATTTCACCTTGCACTGTTTCACTGCAAGGTCAGTGCTTGATGTCTTGCATAAATTTCATAGAAACATTTAATTGGACATTACTGAAAGTTGATTGAGAATATATTGAAAGTGATACACAGGCAGAAATATTTAATAAGTGCCAAGAAAGACAGCTGTGGGTAAGAAATATACATTAGCTCAGTGCTTAATTCATGTCTCCTTGTCTGTCACAGATGGTGCAAAACAGGCTGAATATGGCAGAGTTACCATCAGAAACCCAAATGCCATCGATGAGGGCAATCAAGAATTTCAGCAGCTTGAAGATAAGAGGCCAAAGCAGCCTACTGAGGAGGAAGAGAAGGCTGTTAATGTTCCACCTATGCATGAAGAGGCCAACTTCTCAGACAACGGAGAACCTGAAGAAGGTTATGACAGTGAAAGAGGATCGATCCTGGAAGATAATTCCTTTGAGTCAGTTGATTCAGAACAAAGTGCCAAGGAAGATATTGCTGCAGGTAACCATTTGGAATTGGGTTATTTTCTTCTTTTGCTCTTGAAGAGGTGCATGGTTGAATGTAATTTTAGGCAAATACCAGGGGTTTTGGCTAATATTTTTACTGTCCTTTGTTGTAATACTAATGGCTCTCCCTGATCCACGGCAGTCCCTCTAGTGGCAGTACTGTGTCGTTAACTTAGCACAGCAGTTTCTCTGTCATTTCTCAATTTAGGAGTAAGAAAAGAGCTTCTGTGAGTGTCATAGTTGGAGTTCTGTGCTTGGGCTTGTGGACTCTGTCTCAAGATGGTAGTGGATAAAGAGCAGGAATCGCAGGAAGCATACCATTAGCCCAGGTTTGTTCCTTGCAGAGACTGATAGCCCTGTGTCATGTGCTGTAGACAGGACTGCCATAGAATCATGTGCCCTCTCTTCTCACTCTTTTTAGCCTGTGTCTCTAGGCTGTATTACTTTCCAGGAAAGATGGTGTGTAGCTTCCCCCTCAGGCAGTTCAGTAATTTCTGTGTGTGTTGGAGTAGGAGCAATGTTTGACTCTCTTTGGCTGAGGCCTTATCCCTCTGCAGCTAGAGTGCTGATCTGTGCTGACTCGTCATTGTGCCAAGAAGGGATCCTATTACTGTCATCTTCCCTAGTCTGTTTTGGCATGAAACTATCTTTGACTCTATTCTTGGTGCTAAGCTTGGCTTTGCTGTTCTGCATTCACCTCTGATTATGCTTAACAAATCTGTCTCCAATGAGCATTTAGAAAAAGAATTCAGGCACATCTTGCCTAGCTGTTCTACGCTCCTGAGGTGCTGTACCATCCCCACAGCAAAGTGTTTTTGAGCAGCTTCTAAGATCTGCAGGAAAATCTAGATTAAATGCAAAGACACCTAATAAATTTTAAATGGTTGGTGGATAACTTACGTGGTGAAGCAATCAGATGTTCAGCTGTATTTCAGACCAACGTGCATTCCTTCCTAAGGGTGGTTTAATGTTCATCAGGATTTCTTATGAGGACTGGTAGAAGTTCTGTGAAGTAACAGGGCGGACGCTGTTGAGCCACTGGTTACAGCAGCTGTTCCATGGCGTGAGAACAGGCAGGTAGGTGGCTGTGGAATCTGCTGGCCTGAACTCCTGGCAGCAGCAACAGCAATGAGAGGAGAGGCAGGAATCAGTTCAGGGTAGAGGTGTGAAGATGGTTTAAAGCTTATGCCATACTAACAGGGTACTGACAAGAGTTCAGGGAGCGTTTGGACAGTGCTCTCAGGCACATGGTGTGGTGCTTGAGGCTGTCCTGTGCAAGGCTGAGGGTTGGACTCCATGAGCCTTGAGGGTCCCTTCCAACTCAGGATATTCTGTGATTCTGTGGACAGTGCTGGAAACTGATGGGAGGGATAGGAAATGAAGAATGTGTGCTGCTCTGGTTGCTGACTTGCAGCTGGAGGAGCTGTGGGTGGTCTGTCAGAGGCAGAGCTCGGCAAAGTGACACTGCACAGCCGCATCCCGCCCTGTAATGCCGCTTGTGGACTATTAATATTATTTTCTGAGGACTTTTCTGCCTCTTCACTGTTCTTAATGGCATCCTCGCCTGCATCAAGAACAGTGTGGCCAGCAGGACAAGGGAAGTGATTCTTGCGCTGTACTCAGCGCTGGTGAGGCCACACCTTGAGTATTGTGTTCAGCTCTGGGCCCCTCAGTTCAGGAAGGATATTGAGGTGCTGGAGCAGGTCCAGAGAAGAGCAATGAGGCTGGTGAAGGGACTTGAGCACAAGTCCTGTGAGGAGAGGCTGAGGGAGCTGGGATTGTTTAGTCTGGAGAAGAGAAGGCTCAGAGGTGACCTCATCACTCTCCACCTGAGAGGAGGTTGTAGGCAGGTGGGGGTCAGTGCTCTTCTCCCAGGCAATCAGCAGTAGGACAAGAGGGCACGGACTTAATCTCTGCCAGAGGAGGTTTAGGTTGGATATTAGAAAGAAGTTCTTTACAGAGAGAGTGATCAGGCATTGGAATGGCCTGCCCAGAGAGTTAGTGGATTCACCGTCCCTGCTGGATGTGGCTCTGAGTGCCATGACCTGGTAATCACAGTGGGGTTGGATCAAGGGTTGGACTTGATGATCTCGGAGGTCTCTTGCAACCCAGTTAATTCCATGATTTTATGATTCTGTGGTTTCCTCGGTGCCCTGGAGCCCCGGGTGCCGTGACCCGGCGCGGGGGTGGCGGCGGGGCCTCCCCAGGCTGTCCCTTGGCTGAGGTGACGCCGCCCCTCCCTCTCTCCCCCCCTCCGCAGGTGCCGGCGCGGCCGAGGGCGCCCCCTGGCGGGCGGCGCGGGAGCTGCTGCGGCGGGTGAGTGGCGACGGCGGCGCGCGCGCGGTGACGCGAGCGGGGGCGGGGCGGGCGGTGCACGCGGCGGGGGAGGGAGGAGGGAAGGAGGGCAGGGGAGGAGGGAAGCGCTGACGTGTGCCCGGCGTTTCGTAGCCTCCCGCGGCATGGCGGCCGGCAGAGCTCCCGCCGGGGCGGCCGCTGCAGCAGGTGAGGGTGGCGGCGGGCGGGCTGTGAGCAGCGGCGGAGGGGCCCCGCCAGCCCGGGCGGTGACACTGCCCCCCCGAGCCAGGCGCGTCCCTGAGGGGGTCACCGTGAGGGGGGGCTGAGCGTCCCGTGCCCCCGCCCCGCACTGTGGGGCGATCCCGAGGGAGCGGAGACGGCCACGGGCGCCCGGGATCCCTGCCTGGCCTCCCGGGGTAGCGGGGAGAGCTCGCCCCTGGGCCGGGCTCTGCAGGGGCAGATGTGCGCCCTCCTTCTGGTGCCTCGTCGCTGTCGGCTGTGAAGAGGGTAGGGAGGGAGGAGGCAGCTGTTCCCGTGTGGGTCGCACAGTTCGTTCCCCGAGCGCCATGTCATGTCACTATCGGCTCCGTAACCCGTACCAGGCGCTCACACCTCCCCAGGTGCTCTCTGGCCTCCAGGTAGAGGAGGAGGCACCTGGCATATGACCCTGTGGCCGGGGCAACAGCTGGGGAGAGGTCTGAGAGCCATTTTCACTGTATTACTACAGGCGTAAAACTGTCCAGATGTAAAACTGTTTGGATTTTTTTTTTCCTTTATTTTTTTCCCATCCTTACAGCTTTGTTTGGAAGCAAGTCAGATAGCTGCCAGTGGTGTGTAACACAAAATGTGAGCACCAGCAGACTTGTCACTGCCAGGTGTCGTCCTGATACTTGGAGTTTTGCATTGAAACGCGGGCAGCAAGCTGCTCTGTGGTTTTCCTCATTTTCAGTTTTCGGTTTGCACAAAAACTGCAAGAAAGCTCTAGATGGTTCTCTGGTTTTATGACAGAGATAAAAGCACCTTGCAGACTGTTTATTTTGCCTGAGTATTTAATGAAAACATACTCATAGCTGTCAATGCTGTCGGTTTTCAGTTGGTTGCCACCCTGCCTGAGGAAATGCGTCCTGGGCCTGATTTCCATGGACTTCCATGGGAGCCTGTTATTATGACTGCCTTAGTGGGAATTGTCACGCTTGCTATTTTTTTCTGGAGAACCTGCCTTTCAGTGAGTATATGTCGTGCTTGCCTGCTGATGTTTCACTTACCCAGCGGTCCTCTGTATGGTTAAACTGTTTCAGCACTACTGGGCTCAAAGCAGTATGTGGTCTTTCATGGTTTTACTTCTGTTTAGAGCATTAATGTGAACTAAACATTGGGTTGAATAGCTAAAGTAAGTTTGCTAAGAAGCATTTTCTTTAAGCTGTTAATTGAAGATCTCTTAGCACTAGGTGATTTCAAAAGCAAAACAGAGGCGTGTGATGTAAATAAAGAAGGCTGAGGAAAGGGTCAGCATATCTTTGAAACGAGAAGCCTTCCATGTGCTGGAGCCTGTTGCTGACTACCTCCAAAACAAGCAGTTAATCCTTCCCCCCTCATGTTGTCCAGCTGCTTGTAGGCACTGCATTTAGAAACCTAAACCCCCGATATTAATTCTGACCAGAGGGCCCCTTCCCTGCTCTTCTCCTCATTCTGTGTTTGTCCTCTTTCCTACATGGGTAATTTTCTTTGCAACAAAAACACCCTCACCAGCTCTCAAGTACAGCAGTGCATCTCCTTGGGAGCCAAGATGAGAATCAAATAGGCCAATTTCTTTTACAGCTGTCAAGTGCAGTCACGATATGCTCTAGAGAAATCTGTAGAATACTTTATATTTGCCTGACAAAAACGAGTTAAAACTAAATATTATCTGTAAACAGTATTAGTAGTTTTCCTCCTTGCTTGGTTTTGGTATTGAATACAGTGGCTCAGTTTCAAATGCAAAGCAGTGTAAGTAGAAAAGCATAAAAAAGCTTCTGAAATTCTTCTTTTTCCATGTTAATTTTGAAACGAGCACCTGCCATGTAAACATACATTGCTTTAAGGGGATCAGAACTGGGATGCCAGTGTGTTTTGTGTTTGTTCAGGGCTGTGGTTTAATGCAAAATGGCTTCATTTTCTTTGCAAATTGGATATGGGCAGTTACCGCTATCCTTTTAGTGAGTGAGTAAACAGACGTTTACTGAGGCTCTGGGACAGGGCTTTAGCCTAGAAGCTTTTATTAGAAAACAACCTAAGCTCGTTTGTAGTGTTACTCAACACTTGCTGGCAGTGATAGATGTGTCTTCCATATGTTGCTTTAATCTGTGTATAAGTGGTGGGTTTTTTCTATAGGGAAAATTAATAAAATTTTTCACTTATCACTCTTTATGACTAATCTTTTTTTTTGTGTGTGTGTGTGTCTTCTCTCTCTTCTGTAGGTAAAGAGTAGAATCTATCAAGGTAAGTTTCTCTCTGCTTTTCAGTGTAGTTGATGCTTGGACATGGAAAAGTTTTGAAGATTGTTAGGTTGTTTCAGAGAACCAATTATTCATCTTTACTCTGTTTCAAAGAGAATGCCAAGTCCAAGATTACAGTGTAAACTTGGCCAGTAGATTAGTTGAATCTGAGGATTTAAATTTTGCTTTTGACAATGCTTTGATCAGGAGAAACAGTGCAGCTCACACCTGCAAAACAAAGGGCAAGGAACAGCTCCACCTTGTTCAAAATAAATGTGAACCATGGGTTTTTACTGGTGTGATTGGTTGTGGGGCAGTTTGGTTTGGTTTTTTGATTAGCAGTGGATCTAGTTTTGCTTGCTGTTTCTTCCCAGAAAGCAGGAGCTAGTTCCTCTTGCCTTTTTGGATTAAGGGGATCCTGAAGCTGACTGCTGGGCAGTTGCAAAGAGACCCTCTAAGTGTAGACCTAAATCTGCAGGTATTCCCGTGGCTAGTACATTGCTTCTTACAAGAGTATTTCTCCAGCTTCAGGTTCCTAAAATTAAAGTGTACTGAGTGGGAAAAAAATTGGGTTAAAAGTAGGGTAATTGCTGAAATTCATAATTGAAAATAAATTGAAAATATGGAAGAATTAACTTCTCAGGAACTCTCTGCCTCTTTCTCATAAACCATACTATTTACCAGTCATTCCTCTCTAGTTTCATTGTGGTTATGCTGCAGTTTTCTTCTGTACAGTTAATGCAGAATTGATGAGCTGAAAAAAGTCCATCTTAGACCTGTGATTTCTGTAGTTCAGGAAAACCATTGGTATTGGTGGTGTAGAAATCACTTAGCACCACAGCCCACCCCAAACCAGTGAGGAACACAGATCTAATTGCACCCCCCCCCCCCAAATATTCTCCTGTGTGATGCTGTACAGAAACTACCGAAGCTAGGAACAAATAGATACTCTTTAATCTTGATAAAGGTCATGTTATTAAAATCTTTACCCTAAATAATAGAATATTAACGGTGACAAAAATGCATTACATTTAGAGTCACAAAAATAAAATCTATTATCCTCTCATAATGACAGTAGTGAAATTGTGAGGTGAAGCTAATGAAAGGATTCCTGTCCTGTTCCCAGAGTGGGAAAGGCTGTCCCAGGAGCCCTCGTGTGGGAGGGGAGGGAAGGAGGAGTAGCAGTTGCCATTGCACCCTGTGGGATGCAGTTGGAACATCCAGTGCTTCTTGTGCTGCAGGATTTGCTGTGAGGCAATTGGCGCTTGGGGCGTTCAGATACAGACAGGGGTGGCTTAGGACTTGAAAAATAACTACAATTGGGTGGTTTTTTAATTAATTTGCAGTAAAATAATTTAAGTATGTTAATGATTTTTGGTGAATCCTAAGGGTTGGTTGGTGACTTGTTCAGGGTGAGAAGCAAATGCATGCCTAAAGGCTGTTGCTTGGTCACAGCCTTTTTGAGTCTAAGAATTCCAGTTCCTTGAGACTTACTGATGCCGCCTCTAGCCGACACTCTCCTTTCTGTTCCCAGTAGGACCAGAACAGAACTTTCATCCTCTTACCTTTGCTGACCAAACATTCAGCTCCAATGTAGCAGAAAGGAGGTTGGTGGGGGAGATGTTGCATCTCCCGGAGTGTCTGAGCAGCATTCTGAGACTGCTGTGAGGTCCTGGCTGCCAGTTCTTCCCCTGAATGTACCTCATCGGTGCACAGCCAGCACCTTACTCTGCTCCGGGTTCTGTGACGAGCTCCTGTGAAGTGAATGCAAGGGCTTCGTGCTTTTTGTCAGTGTTCAGTGCTTTACTATCTTGTTTTCAATCCTAACTCTAAATGAAAGCTGGAGGTGCAGAAAGGGCGGACTGCCAAGGAATTGGCACTATCCTGATTTATGCTTTTAAGTCATTACCTGAAAATATTCCCTAAAGTGGTAGTAATGATAGCTGATTTGCTTTTCCTCCAGTATATGAAGTACAGTTATTGTAAGCTTTCTTTTTCTTCGTAGTGACTGAAAAGCAACTTGCTGAAAAGATTAAAAACCTTCTGCAAGAAAAAACAGAAATCTTAGAAAAGTTGTCAGAATATGATCAAAAGGTATTGTCTTAAGTTCTTGTCCTTTGCTTCCTAATTTTCTGTTATTGCTTGAGTGACACAGTCAACTCAACAGCTAATATATTATTTTCTATTCTTACTGAATATTATGCTGACAGTTTCCTCAGTTCTGTGTGGTTGTTTCTGTGCTTAGATAAAGGAAGCAAAGGAATCCATGAAAGTGGCCCAAGAACAAAAAGACATTCTCTCTGATGAAACTGCAGGACTTAAGGTAAGAGACAGTTAACTCTCTCTCTGTACTGACAGCAGAAATATCAGTTAAAATAGTTTGCTTTGTGTTGGTCTTTTACCCTTTTTTTTTTTTTTTCTTAAGGACACTGTCAAAGAACTGGAAGAAGCAAAGCATCAGCTAGATGACAAAGTGAAAAATCTGCACACAATGCTTGAAACGGAGAGAAAAAAGAACGAGAAGAAACAGAACAAGGTTAGAGCAATCACACTCATGTTTTATATTGTTCTTAACTTGGTGTACCCTAAAAGCCGGTCACAACCAGTTAGTTAGATAGCATCAGAACAAGCAAGGTGAGCCACCTCAGAAAGAACTGAAATGAAATTTCATGTTTATCCCAAGCTTTAGCTGGAGAATCTGTTTTGTTGTCTCTGTTTGGGGTTTTGTTGTTTGTTTTTTGTGTTTTTTTTAGTTCGTTTGATTTTGGGTAGTTTGCCTGTTTTGTTTTGTTTTTGTTTGGTTGGTTTGTTTTGGTAAGACTGTGATGGATTTGTGTGGTTATGTGCTGTCACAAACAAACAGATGTATTCAGGCCATGGGCTAGTCTAATACTTCCCAGCTGGAGCCAGAAGGTTTCAGGTTTGTGAAGATGTTTTCCTGTGCTTAGAGAAGCATCTAGCTCTGCAGTAAATGTGAGGATCTCTCAACTGCCCCTTGGTTTTGTTATTTTCTTCTTCTTCTTTTTAAGGCCTGATTTTTCTGCATCAACAAGTTCTTTGCTGTTGTTTTTGATCAAAGGTTGCTGCTAATGACAGCAGTGTGTGTTCCTTTCGTTGTCGGCTGCACAGGTGTACAGGGAACTTCCTTGCCACAAACAGGAGGAGTCATAGGTGGCAGCTGATTCCAGTGTGCTGAATGTTTCTATTCCTTGCCTTGTTGATAAGGCAGCTCTGTGTTGCTGCCAGTCCAATGCCTGCTCTGAATGGAAGTTTTTTTGGTGTTTTGGCTTTTCTTTTATACTTCTAGGCTATACAGGTAAAGTAATTACTCAGGCTGAGGCATGTACCTGGCTAATACTCTGTCACTGCTCATCTTTTTCTTACACAGCTCTCTGAAACCCAGAAGTCCTTGGAGAAACTGCAGGAGGCTATCAATGTGCATTCTGCAGAGCTTTCAGAGGTAAAGCATGATTTACACCCTCTCAACAGTCACAAGTTCCTGTACCAGGAAAATTCATATCTATGTAATAGAAAATGCTAGCTTGGCAGGCTCCCCTTGTTGTAGTTTGACTTAGTGTTTTTGTTCCTCTTTTGTATCACGTGTAGGTGCAGTTAGCCCTTAATGAAGCTAAACTAAGTGAAGAAAAGGTGAAATCTGAGCTGCTTCATGTGCAGGAAGAGAATGCTAGGCTGAAAAAGAGCAAGGAGCAGGTAAGTTATGGCCAGGCCAGGCAGCCTTGTATTTAGAAGAAAATATGAGGGCTTTATTCCTGGGGTTTTTTTGCATGTAACTTCAGCATGTCTCCATTTTCTTAGCATGGCAGAATTCCACGTTTCCTATTATCAAATTCCTATTATAAAATTTAAATGCTTTGTGCCTGCCTGCACAGACTTCTTGTGCAGGTGAGCCTCTTACATGTCTCTGGTACAAGGGCTTCGCCAGTTCCAGTGGTTCAGTTTTGGTCAGCAGTTTCATAGGAAGTCTGTGCTGATGTGGTTGTCACTGGTTGCCACTTGGGATCAGGAGCCAAGGAAGTAATGCTAAAGAATTGCCAAAAAGCAGTTCTGAAGTGAAGTGGGGAGGACCTTTAACCCTGAAATGTTGTGACAGTTCTTTTACAAATAATTGTAAATATTTGTTTTCTTTCTCCATATATGAAGTAGATGGCCTTTAAGGGATGTGTTTTGTTTACCTCTGGACTGCAGTTAATTCCTAGTATTTTGAAGTGTGTGAGCAGTTTGGTTCTGATGTTGGGATATTAGCTGAGAAAACGTCAGATTTGTAAAGTCACGTAATAATAAACTGCAGAAATATTCCCAGCATCCAGTTCTGCCAATGGAACAGCAATGTGCCTGATAACTATGAAGTTTACCCTTTATCTGTGACCTGTGGTGATCAGTTATCAGCAGAGCTGGCAGTAAAATAGACTTTAATTACATACACCCTGGACTAAAAATAAAGGAAGTAATCGTCTTGCCTTGGTGCTTCATACAGCTGCTGAAAGAAGCTGAAGGTTGGAGTGAGAGGCATTCTGAGCTCCGTGAGCAGATCCAAATGTATCAGAAATCTCAGAAGGACATAGAAGAAACACTTGCCTACAAAGAAAATGAAATTGAAGTAGGTTCTTTATAATCAACTCGCCTCAAATAGTATGCATCATAAAATACTTTGTCATACTTTGCAAAATGCAGAGCAATTCTTCCTCAGTGAACCTTTGATTTCGTTACTAGGTTTTAACTAACTGCATTATGCAGCTGAAGCAGCTGGACGTGGATCCAGAGGCCAAGAAGGATGAGAAGGGGGGTGAGTGGAGCCCAGGAGATGAGCTGGCCAACGGAGAGTTGCCAGGTACAGGAATCCTACCCTGCTGGCTGAAGCACACGTGGTGGTGTGTTCGTGGCATGTCACAGAGGGAACAAGGACAATCCATGCCTATATCTGCCCGTGGGTTAACGGGCTGACAGCTTTAATCCTCAAATACAAAATAGCCCCCAGCTGAAGGGAGGAATTGTCAAAGAGGCCAGTAATTGCTTTTAGGTGCCCTTTTAGGTAAATCATGAGTGTAATGACACAGTTGTAAAGATTGAAGGGCACTCTGAAAGCTGCGAATCTCAACTTTGTTGTTATGGTACATTTATTTTTAATATGAATTTTTAATGAATGTTCTGCTTGGCTCCAGAAAGAGAACTAATTTAGGGAATCACATTTTTTAAATCTGAAAGACCAAAATAGATGTTTTCCAAACTATTCAGGCAGTTTGTCATTTATGATGTTGCATGTGTGTTTGCTATTACATCTCTGGTTTTGAATTCCTCTTTTTTTCCCCTTTTTTTTTTTACTTTTTTCTATCTATGGTATATGTGGAGGCCAGAAATTTCCACTCTTTGATTTTCAGATACTCTGTGCAGTAATAGATGCTGCACTCACATCAAATATTAGTGTGGTGTCCAGAAGAAGTGACAAGAAGGAATCTTCTGAACACATTTTGGAATAAATCTAATAATAGTTCTGTTGTGCTGGTCATGGATTTGCTATTGTGTTTTGTTCCTCACCTCACACTCTTGGGTTTTGTGTTCTTTTTTCTTTTTTTAAACCATGTAAGAAGAACTGTCCTAGACTAAAGTGTAGGGAAGGTTATTTTTTACAGCTGTAGAGTCTAAGGACTTGGGGTTAAGAAACATGGAAAACAAATATATTTTCCTCTTTTAGATATTGAGAGTGAGAAGATGAAGGCTCAGATTAAGCAGATGATGGATGTCTCCAGGGTAAGTTGCACAACCTATGTAACAAATGCAGTCACATTACTGCTATGCCTGGGATAAGAAACACTCTGCTCCTCTTCTCAGGTAAAAACTATGTTGTCCATAGTTGAAGAAGACAGAAACCTTCTGCAGTCCAAACTGCATGATGAAGTAGCAGCAAGACATGAGCTGGAAGGTAGGTTTACTAAAGAATTGTTTGTGGTTTAAAAAGAAACAGAGCGTGTGAGCGGCATAATGGTTCTCATTGCAACTTCAGCTTCCTCACTTACCTTCACTTCTCCAACAGAGAAAATAAAAACATTGGAACATGACTCCTCTTCTCTCCAGTCAGCCAAAACTCAACTGGAAAATGAATGCAAAACTCTGCAGCAGAAAGTGGAGATACTTGGTGAACTCTACCAGCAGAAGGAGATGGCACTCCAGAAGTAAGCCTTTCCTTACTCTGCCACGACATGGGATATTATATCATAGCCACTATCCAAGTGCTCTTTGCTCAGAAGGATCAAATAACTTGAAGTTGTAGTTGGAGTCAAAGATGATGAGTGCTCTTTCAGTGCAGTTGAAGCTAGTACCCTGTTTTCACTTTTCCCACCTTTCCAGAGAGGACTGTCAAGTTTGCATCCCCAGTATTGTCTTCTACTTTTAAACTTTTGGGGAGGGCAGAGGGGTGGCTTGGTCTGCAAATTCTATGATTGATCTGTTATATTCTCCAGAAATGTCGAGGATAGTCTAGGGGCCGTGAAGCTTTGTTTGTTACACTGACCTCAATTCAGTGAGTAGACAGTAAGTTCCAGTGTAGGAACTTGGTATTTTAGCCTGGTAAGCTTCTTGCGTTCTCAGAGGGCTGCATTAAGGCTGAGTTGGTCATGGCAACTGAGGGGAATGAACTGTGAGCAATGAGGATCCAGTGTGTATCTGTGTTCATTCCTCATTTATTTATTCATTTATTTACTCACTGAAATGTCTATAATACCATCTCAACTGGGGAAAATTTGAGAATAGAATTCAGGGACATTTTCCGCTAAATTGTACAGAAAGCTGAAATTGTGATGGAGAAGCAATTGAAATTTCTAAGGTTTGAGTGTGTAGGCTGGGGGAAGCACAGGGTTGGAACAAGCTAAGGAGGTGAGGCTGTACAGCAGCTCACTGGTGAAACTGCCTGACCTTGAAACGTCAGGATCCACAAATAGGAGACACATAATGGAGAGGTGAAGGGTAGCCCACCTTTCAAGGAAAACTTCCTCTTGACCTCTGTAAATAATTCTGTTCTTTCCAAAACTTACATGAGGTTACACTGCCTGTTACTACTTCTTTCTTAGAATAAAGAACTTCTTGCACTTTTCTTTTTTTTTTCTGGAAAAATGCTTTGACATGTAGCCAAGGAAATGGATTATGTTGAACTGGATGTTAGGAACAGTTAACTTGCTGCTAGTTTAATGGTTTCATATTTTTGAGATAGCCCTTCTAAGTTAGGAACACATTATGGACCTCCTAAATACTTTCAGAAAAATGTCAAAAAAAAAAGTGAACTGTGAGGTTAAGAGGTTATAAGAAGACTGTGGAAATTGGTCATGTAGTAAATTGCTATGTTCAGTACTTAGGAAAAAAAAATCTTCTTTCTTTCCCCACAATTAATGACTATGCAGTGTGTTGGTCACCTGGCCTCCAAATTAGCCCCTTTTCACTACACATTCATTTCTTCATTTCCCTTGGTTAATGTCAGTTCAGCGTATTTCCTTGTTTGTACCTTTGTAAATCTGGATTACCATCTGTAGAACTGCAAAGAAAACTACAGGATCTGAAGAGATGACCTGTCTGCAGTTGATACATTCTGACAGTCCTTTGGATGCTGACAGAACTTTCTGTGTGTGCTTAATTTTAGGGTTTTATACACAAAGGGTTTGTCTGTTGATTTCAAAAGAAAGTACTTCTGTTTCTTAAAAAAAAAAAAAAAAATCTTTTTTTCTCTCTGTGTTCTCGCACATTGTTACAGATTCTGATGTCACTGTTGTTAGCAGGGGAATGCCTTGATTTTGAGTTGTAGTAGATGCAGAATGGTGGACTATATTGTGCCTTTTTTTTTTTTCCTATGCAGAAAACTAACCCAGGAAGAGTATGAGCGTCAGGAGAAGGAACAGAAATTGTCTGCTGCAGATGAAAAAGCCGTGCTGGCCATTGAAGAAGTGAAAGTTTATAAGTAACTTGAGTTTCTGAAGATTATGGTTTTCTTCTTGTTTCAGCCATTGAGGAAAATTCATTTAAACCTCTCTCCTTCCCTCTTCTTCCTTCTGTGCAGGCAAAGGATCCAAGATATGGAAGAAGAACTGCAGAAAACAGAGAGATCTTACAAGAACCAGGTAAACCTGCTTGCTGTTTATTGTGTCATCTTTTACACATCATTCCAGCGCTCTGGTAGTTGGACAAAAACTAAATCGCTTCTTTCCTTCTCAGATCGCTGCTCATGAGAAAAAGGCACATGACAATTGGGTAAGAATGTTCTTCTTTTTCTTATGCAAACAGTTTGTATTTGACTTCACATTGGTGCCATTAATGCAGCTGATAAAATTTTACCTACCAGCTCATTGCCCGCTCGGCTGAGAGAGCTCTGGCTGAGGAAAAAAGAGAAGCAGCCAACCTGAGACAAAAGTGAGTATGGAACAGACCCTCTTTATTCCTCTTTGAACGTGCTCTGTGTTGCTTGGGAGAGAAGAAGCTCTAGCAGTGTCAGGTGCTCATTTAGCTCGCTCAGGATGCGCAGTGCATATTTGACTGACTAATTTTAACCACTATTAAACTGTTTTGGTGCTTAAAATAAGATCTCTTGGTGAAAGCAGTAATGTTTTACGATGCGGTTTGCCTTGTTGCATTATAATAAATATAACTCACAGGTATTTTTTTTGAATAGTAATAAGAAACCTTTATTTTTTCAAAATTAGATTAATAGAAGTAAACCAAAAAATCGTCATGCTTCAAAGACCAGTAATTGTAAAGCCAACTCCAGGCAGACCAGATCGCCAAGTCCCGCCACGACGAGGTAAATGCTGCTGGTTCACCTAAAACTTTGGTCTTGGAGTCAGTACATCATAAAAAAATAAGGCTATTTTAAATTACAGAAAAGTAAGTCACGTGGTTTTAATTCTTTGGCATAGGTCCCTTAAGCAGAGATGGCTCGTCTGGCCCATCCCCTGTGAGTGGAGGAAATCCATCCCCCACACAGATGATCGAAGTTCCTGCTCGGCCCCTTTCTGCTCCTCGAAGGGAAGGCACAAGGGGTGAATTTGGTAAGCACTGAAGCTTCCCTTGTGTGACAACTCTTATGCTACGGACACAGGAACACTAAGGTCAGATCTTGATTCTAGGGGTAGTGTTAAGTATTGATACCTACTTTATTAATACACAAGTGTCGGGTTGTTGGGGGTGGGGGTGTTAATAGAAATAGCTCAAGGCTATGTTGATCAGAATCTCTGGGGTTCTTGTTTCCCTTAATGTACAGTGGTGGATGGTCCCCCTGCTCCACGAAGGCCACCAGAGTTACCTGGAAGGATGTCTGTTCCTGGTAAGTAATGTGGTCTGCAACCAACTGCATCTTATTCAGTTACCCTTTCACTTCAAAAAGGCAATTTTAAACCCACCTTCCTTACCCTATGCACAGTAAGACAGGCATTTATGGCTCTCTTTACAGACATTGGGCCTGCGGTGGCATCCCTGATCAGCAGTGAGCCAAGAACCTCCTCCCCTTCCACAGCAATGGATGGAGTGGTAAGCTGAGAAAACCCCAACCCTCAGGAAGCACTTTTAGTACATGATGCACTTTACTTCTGCTGCTTCTTTAACTGTATCATATTCTGTCTTGTCCATATCCTGTCACTATCCTTATTTGCTGGCCAAAAAAACCCCAAAAGCAACCCTCTCCCAAAGAGTCTGAAGCCCCCAGTGTAGCTACCGATTCACCTTCATCCAGTGAAGCGGCTGCAGTGAGTACCCAGAGGCTGAACGTGGTGTTACGCTGCTGTGATGGAGAGGAGTTAACAGGCTTGGTGTTCTGACCTGCTAAGTAACAAACGCTCTGCACAACTAACCAGGGGCTCCTCCCTCTGCCTCGAGGGGCTTCTCTCACCATGAACAGTTCCTGTCTGTTTTTTGCGGAATTGAGGAAATGAGATGTTTCTTGTCAAGGACTGTGGGCAAACACTCTGGAGTGACTACAGCAATAATCCTAAGCAGCTGACTTACCTGTGGTGTTTAAGCACAATTCCATATGGAATTCAAAGTTCCAGGCCCTTTATCAAAGGGGTGTCCACTGAGGACACTTAGAAAGGGATTGAATTTCAGCTAAAAAAAACTCATCTTGTCAGAGAGTTACACTAACCACTCACTCCTGGGTAGTGCCAGCAGTGTCCTGGGTAAAGGGAAGATGATGGTGCAGTAACTCCCTATTTTCTACCAGGTTAATGTTTTGGGGTGTGTTGGTTTTGCACCTCTTTGCCTCTGGGTGAGTGGCTGTGGTGTTGAGCAGTGTCATTGCTTCTCTGATGCACTGAGGCACGACTTCTTCTCGCACAGGGGAATGCCAGTGCCAAAGGCCCGTCTCCTTTCCCTGGGACACCCATCATGCCCTCCCCAGTGATGGGACCTCCTCCTCCGCCGCCTGTTCGCTACGGACCACCACCACCTCCTCTCCGTGGGCACTTCGGGCCTCGACCTCACCCTGCGCCCCAAGGTACAGCTGCTCTGCCCCGCACTGAGACGTCCCTTCTGGGAATCTGACTGCACAACCCACATGTGCTTTTCCTTAATGCACAGCTTCCCAGTGCTCCATGGGCTCTGGCTGTCTTGCTCAATAAGCTTGAACTGGGGGGATTTTTTTCAAGCTTTCTTAATGCCAAGGTATTAAGAAGGTGTTTTTCCTTGTTTAGTCTGCTACAGCAGCCAAAAGTCCCTAGAATATAATTCATGGGCTGTGAAGTCTGCATGTGATGGACCCCAGAGCTGCTCTAGAAAATAATGGAAGTGAGGGACAAGTCAGGAACTTCACTGTCTAGGTTAAAGCAAGATTTCATTTAACTCCATGATTTCTTTTCCTTCCAGTTTGTGGTGCTCCCTTGCCACCTCCGCCTGCAAGAGATTTCTTACCTGGTCCACGTTTAGGAATAAGAGATTTGCCTCCTGGCCCACTGCCGCCTCCCCCAGATCCCAGAGGCTACGTACGTGGGCACCCTCCTTTCCGGCCCCTAGGCCCTCCTGGCCCCAGGGATTATCCTCCAGGCCCCCGGCTACCCCCACAAGCTGCCAGAGACTATGCGCCTTCTCCCAACAGAGACTTGCCCCCGTCAGCACCCAGGGACTAACGTGGCTGCCGGGCTCCAAGGACTACGCACAGCCCCAGCACAGGGCCCTGATGGGACAGCAGCTCCACACAGTGGGCTCTGGCACACAGCCCACCCTCGGGATCGCAGGAAACGGCTCTTGGTTTGAAGACATTGGTCTCATTTCAGTATATCTCAGCTTTTGCAGGATTAATTTTTATCCAGTTGCTACAGACATCTTATGTGCATTTATGATCACAAACTCATCCATCCACTTGGGCTGCAAGAACCTTTTTGTGGTGGACTTGAACCTACTCTAAAAGTGCAATAGAAGGAAATACCTGTGTGGATAGTTTTAATTCTATGTAGCCTTTGTAACCAGTTGGCAAATGAACTAATTTCGTTAAAAATGTAAATCAAATCATTTCCTGTGGAAATAATTTTTTAAGTAAAACGCTATCCAACCTGCCTTCTCCATCTCATCATTGAGCTGCAGTTACTGTAGGCCAGGGGTTTACATGAGGACTCTGAAGGTCTGGGGTTTTTTTAAAAAGGATGTCTGGTCAGAGATCAGAAGCACAAATGCCACTGTATTCAAAGGAAAGTTATAATAAAAAGCAAAATTCCTTTTGCTAAACCCCAAAGGCTTTGTTTCAGTGCCACTTTTTGTTCAGAAAGGATACTGGTTCAGCAACATGACCAGAAAATGCTACGCTTCTGAGTGCAAGAATTGAATCAAGGCCAAATTGCTGCTGCTACTGCTGCTGCAGGGTTAATGACCCTGTTACCCTTATGCTGAATTAGTCTGGCATGTTATGGACTTGCTTCATGTAACGAGGACCGTGGAGGATGCAGCTTCCAGAGCTGGAAACCTTTATGAAGTTGTGTAGGGACTGGGGAAACATTCTCCACTAGATGGACTTAGAAATTTCCTAATTGCTTTCTGCTTTGAAGACCAGCTCGCAGCATTAAGCAAGGTGTGAGCCGAGTTTTCATCTTACTCAACGTTTAAGGCCAATTTAAGACCAGTTACTCAGTGTTTAAGACCCTAACCCAATTCAGGTTCCTTAACAGTAAGTCTGTATTTTGAAAGCCTCTTTACTTTCTTTCTTAACCTAAGTAAGTAGCTTTCTGTAAAGCAGAGTGGGTGCATGTAAACCGTGTTAACCTGCATTGCAGACACAGAACACTGAATAACCTTAAAAACAGGCCCTACACTTGTAGCTGTTTGAGTATTAGTGCAGGGATTTGGAATACCAGGCCCCTACTGTCTCAGTGAGTAAGGTTTCTCAAAAGTGCATTGCACAAAAGTCATCCTTAGGGAGATAAAAAGGAAGACAACTCTAGGAATAATAAAAAAACCCTACTGGGGAGGCCATTACAGCTTTACTGCCAGAGTACAAGCAGCCATAAACTTGCCATCTAGGTGTTACATTCTTAACAGTACAAGTGTAAAGCTTTAGATTCAAGATGAAAGACAAGCTAGAACATCACTGAAGCATAAAACAATACCAAAGCTTGTGGTGTGGGCAGCAGCAGTCCTTTCAGTGAGAGACAGTTCACAGAAAAAATGCAGGGGATAGAAGCAACTTTAAAAATGGTATTTCACACTCAACAGACATTAATTCACAATTAGTTAAATACAAAGCTCTACTTGTGTATTTAACAAAAATATTTCAAAGTTGACATTTCATATAACTGGCGTTAATACAGACAGCTACAAGCTGGGGAAGGGTCAAGGTAAGCAGCAGAAACGATGGGTTGTGGTTCGGGGGAAAGAATTTCAATTGGCACGGTGGCCATCGACACACACATTGATGAACATACATGTTGGAAAGTCGGGTTCTCCAAGTTCAGGCTCTTTCAATCTTCATACAAGGCTTTGTGATGTTTAGTGTCTCCTCCCTTGCCCATCCCAGCTAGCAAGAAGAACTTAAAATCTGAATGGAATGGCCCTTGGGATGCCCCAGGAGGAGGCAGCTTGGACACCCACGAGTGAGGGCAGTGCTTACACCGGGCTGTGAGCAACAGGAGCAGAGCCGGACAGAGCCCCAGAACCCTCCCTCGCTGAGTGAGAGAGACCTTCCAGGGACACTCAGTGCCACAGATCCTTCAGTCAGAGCAAGTCCTGAGCCAGCCAGGGACCACTGACAGGTAACACACCTACTGCCCGAGCTCAGTTATTTGCAACCACAGACTAACAAACACTTTGCTCCATCCTTTTGCAGAGTTCAAAGGATGATGTTGGGTTGGTTTTTAGGAATGTGTCTCCTCATTTTGCCTGGTATCCAGAATGCTGCATTCAGAGGTATTTCCATGACTTGTAGGGATATCTTTTCAGGGCTTGATAGTTACCCTCTCACCTGTAATACCATTGGGGTATTGTAAAGAACCATAAACAGGATGATTCAATTGGCCTTTTTTTTCCCCTCCAACCAGCAGTGGAATTTGAGAAAGTGTTGCTGACTTCTGTCATAACACCTAAATAATGTCCTCTCTACAGAAGAAAGGCAAGAAGATTAGGACATTCAAAACCAGCTTTTTATCCTAATCAATAAAGTAAAGCCAAAAATGCTGAACACCTGCCTGGAGACAGACAAGTAGCATGAGGAAAAGTAACATCTCATGATGTAACATCTTGGGGTTATATGACAGAGAAGAGGAATGGATGATACACCTGCATCCAGGCTGTTTAAAATAATTGACACTATTGTGGGAGCTGCGTCCTTAGCATAGCAGAGTATTCAGGCACTAGTTAGATATGCAAGAAGTTTATCAAACCTTAAAGTATCGTATTAAATATCCACGCAAATATATGAAAAATTTGACTGGGTTCTACTTCTGTCCCTTTATTAGGTCAAAAGATGAATGCAAGTGTGTCATAATAAGCCAATGTCCTGCAGCTTATTACACACCAAATCAAAAATATAGAAAATAAATGATAATCCTATCTACTTACATAAAAAAGGTAATTTTTAGAGTAAGTTTCCAGACTTGCACAAAATATGCAGAAAACTGCATACAATCAGTTTCCATAAGAACAGCAGTTTCATGTAAAAGGTGGGTCAGCCTGCTAGCCAAATCTGCTTTATACAAAGCTCTGGAAAAGTCGACATTTCAACACTGAGGGGCCTGTCCTGTCCTGCTGTCACCGCAATGGTGAAACACCCACTGCCACCAGGACAAAGCCCTGGAGCAGCCTCTCTGTCACCCACCCACCTTTGCAAACCACTCTCTGACAAGATATAGAAAAAAAAATAGCTCTATTGGGGAGTAACAGTGATTTAAAGGATTGTAAAGGACATGTATGCAAAAATCAGTACAAGTGGATCAGGCGAGGCTGTTAAAATCATAGTTCAGTGTTCTCATCTGCAGTCGTCCTGCTCCTGACCTGACCACGGCCAAGCAGCTGTTGGAGGAGCTGTGCTGTGGCCGCCCCCCTGATCTGCCCACCTTCTCTCTCACTTCAAAGCACCTGCAGGACCTCAAGCTCCTTCACACCACACCTCATCCTTCTCTCCCAGTCTTCTGCCACCCTGTCTGCTACAGAGGACTCTGAAATGCAGATGAGAGGAACTACAATACCACAGCAAGTGTAAACAGTTAGTAGGCCTGCCACGTCTTTATTGCTGCAGGTTTGGCAGAGGGGCAGTCTCCATCCCTGGGTGGAAGTTGAGGCAAAAGGATAGTAACGGTTAAGATAAAAAGTGATGAACGGCAAACTTAGGAAAAGCAGTCAACGTATTTCAGGGCTCTCGGAAAAACCTGTATCTGGAAGTTACTGAAAAAAATCTTGCACTTGCATGGTGGGCTTGCCCCTGACCCTGAAGTAGTGCTGTGCAGTGTGTGATGGTCCCATCTGACCTACTGGCATGAATACAGTCGGATCTTCCCGCCCCTCGGAGGCTAAGGCTACTACACACAGCTACCAGGACGTGTGGTTCAGTTCACAGAAATCTCACAACTAGGGTCATTCCTTGTGCAGTGTTTGATGGAGGTGAAGGTAAAGTGGTTTCTTGGTCAACAGTTGCAATTTCTTCCTTTTAAAGTCAGTGGGTTTTTTGTACCTGTAACCACAAGAAAATGAGTTAATCCAAGTGCTCAGGGCTGCACATGAACATGAAGGCAAACTAGAAAGCTCGTCCTGCACAGATCTTATTACCCCAGCCTTTTAAATCCATCTGACAAGGCTTATTGGAAGCAACAGTAATGACTAGATTTACAGGAAGAAACTCAAACCAGTATTTTCTCTGGATTATTTTTTTAACAGAACAAAGATTTCAAATATGGAAATGAGTGTAATATTTTTGTAAGGAGATTCCCAACATAATACTGTGGACTGGAGGAGACCCAGTATCAGTTACTCGGTACTTCAGAAGTACTTCAGCTATCACAGATTAAGCACTTTTCCTAGAGGTGCCCAGAATGGCAAAGTTCACCTTCTTCTTGAAAAAAACCAACCCTCAAATGCCTCACTCAAACCTTCAGCCACGCAGCAAGGGTAGGGTAGGATGCACACGACAACCACTGCAAGCATAACTGGCTGATCTATTTGTCTACTTATTAGGGCAAGGGGGGAAAACACAACCACCCAACAATGCTTTGAAACATTCATAAAATTTGCAAATTGGTACCTCATGCCTCAAATCAGCTTTCCTTTACAGAAGTTCTGTACCAAAAGATTGTGAGTTGATTTTTTTTTTTTTTTAAATAGCTGATCTGAAAGTCAAGCCAAACTGCAAATTAAAATCTCCCATATAGACTTGGTTAACTTCATACAAAATTCGGTTACAAACACCAGCATTTTATTTGGAAATGGTCTAGTTTCTGAGAAGGGCCTCTAGCCATCTTACTTGCCTAAAAACATTTTATCTTCTATTCTTTATTAAAAATAGAATATTCTTTATGGAAGTCAATCTAATGAGTCCAAGAAACTCTCCTTGATGCAACAAGTCACACATTGTAACTGAAGTCTAGTTCATTTCTTCACTCATTGTCATCCATAATTGTGATTCACTTACAGTTCTATAACAATTGCCCCAGGTTTAATTTCATCCATCTCCATGAAAGCAAAGCACTTGGTGCTAGTAAACCTTTTCTTAGGCTTGTAGTGTTTGAATTCAAAGAAAATAGCTGCACCTAGAGTGAAAAATGGTTTAATAGAGAAGTTAGCAATTATGGCTAATAGTTATCTGCCAAGAAAACTTATTTCTGCCCGTACATTGGAGGGAATTATGTCCGATGCTTCTGTTACTTACTCAAAAGCTACACTGTGTTCTTACAATGCTCATCGCTCCAACAACAACTTGTCCTCTTCACTCAATTGCTCATACCAGGTAACAATGACTGAGCAGGTGATAAAGCAGCTCAATACCCGTGTAGTAGAGCAGACTGCTGCACTTTTATCTCTTTTCATTTCTCCCTTGTCTGCGAGTCATCGCAGGGACCAATTTGAAAGCGACAGGATGC